GTTCCTAGATCCTGCAGTGCTGACGCAGTAACTCCAACTCCACCGCCGGCGCCAGCTTCTTTTCGAGAGGCTTGAGCCTTCACTCGCCATGCAGAGAGCGAGGGTCTGGGATTGGTCGGGCTTTGGGGTAGGCAGTCGCTAGGCAAGAAGCACAGGCAAAGTCGGCAAGGGCGCAGTTGCACAGGTGTCACTTTCAAACCTCGGTCTTGTTTCACTGGTCCCTTCAAGTCGAGATGCTCCTAGTAGCATAAGCAAGAATTCCTTGCTTGCTTAGAACCTAAACAGATTACCATAAGCATCATAGTATCATCATCACCATCATCATCATAGACATGCGACAAGCAAAACTCAGAGCAAGAGGGGAAGCCATCAGCCATGCTTCAATAGCAGTGAAGATGGCAGGATAGTAAGAGTAGCGCTTATGGCAACTACGACGGCAGCAGCAATGCTAGATTGCGCAATTATAGCAGCAGCAATGGAGATGGTGATAGCAAACGCCACAGTGCATACATCAATTTTCCCCTGAGTGTGTCACATGCATATGAGAACATGCATGGTTCTCGATCTGTCAACAAGTCAGTCTAAACAAACGTGTATATATGTACAAATGTTTTATGTCGACATATATCTATATATGGATATATATGTAAATAGAGACGGAGAAACACCCACAGGCGGTGTATCATCAACAGTGGATACCTCATGGTCGGACTCATGGCCCGAATCATAGACATAGCGGTCGCCATGCAAAGAGTGATTCTCAGGGCAAAACTCATAAGGAAGTTCTGCGTTTGAAGCAAAAGGATGCCAACACTCCCCACTGACGTGACAGTGCATAGTAACAATGCTCTCCCAGAATAGGGGACCCTAATATAGTACTCTAAAAAGTAGGATCCTTATCATAAGGACCCCAAAACAAGGTACCGCCGAGTTTCGGGAACTCTCATACGGGTGGTTGTCAAAATTGTGGTCCCTTTTTGGGTCCCTATTATAATACGGCACCAATTATTTAGGGTACCCACACAGGGACCCTAATTTTGACACCCATATGGAAGGTAACCTCTGGGAGGCCTCCCCGCGTCGGCCCCAGGATCTTCGGAGACTTCCAGCCTGGGCCAGCGATGCGCGAACACTGTGGCCATCGTCGTCTCAGGTGTCGTCGTCGTAGTACTAGTAGTACTAGTACTAGTACTAGTACTAGTACTAGTACTAGTACTAGTACTAGTACTAGTACTAGTAGTAGTAGTAGTACTAGTAGGAGGAGGAGGAGGACGAGGAGGAGGAAGAGTCGAGTGCAAGAATTCTTCAGTGGGAGCAGGGTATATGAAAGAATTTCAGTAGCAATGGGAGCAGGAGTATCTAAGAGGAACAGGAGTAGGAGTGCAATCAGAGGGAGAATCTCAACAGCAGCGGCAGCGTTAGCAGAACCATATAGTTCTCAGATGGCAAGAAGACTACGACCACGCACCACCGGTAAGTTGATTGAGGACTTCAAAAGCACAAGCATGAGGTCATCACAACCACTCTCCGGACGGCGTAACGACGCGCTCCTCGCGGGGGGGGGCCACCTCAGCGCAGGCAACATCTCCCAACCTTGCTGCAGATTACGGTAACTTACTCTGTGTTATGGTACATCATAGCAGATCATCGCAAGTTATAGTATATGTTCATATTTCGTGGTATACTAGAATAAGTTTTGATATGTCTAGCTTCCTTCACTTGCGCATTTTCCGCCTTTGAGGCCCTGGCCAGCTTCTCCCCGCACTGCGGGCAGAAGCGACCAAAGTCTAGGCGCTGGCAGGCAACGCACCATGCCTCCCGGTTAGGGGTTTAGGGTACTTGGTGGTTCATGGGTAGTGATAAGTGGGTTATATGTCCCCTAATTTAGGTGATATCCATACTTATTCTACTTGTAATCCTACTTACAACTTCCCATGAACCTCCAAGTAGACCGCGTGGACTGAACCCTTTCCCGGCCTTAGACTCCGCAGCTTTCGGTGACCTGGACCGCGGCCGCGAAGTCTGAGGGTGGTCCTGTTTGACACCTCGGAAAGCTCCGAATGCTTCAGAAAGACTGCGGTGGCCTAGCGTCCGGGTGTCCATGCAACCTGCTGCATCTTTGGGCGTCGATATGGCATCCCGGACCTTCAGGAGTGCAGCCGGGCATGCTTCTGCCAAAGACCCGGTGGATATGAGAACGAAAGACTTGGGGTGCCACCCAGCGCAAAGCAGCAAGGGAAGCCCTCATGGCCTTGAGTCGTGCGACCAGTCCACAACCAGAAGTCACGCAACAATTCCAGCTGTCTCGTTTGTCCGGCTTTCTGCCGCAAACTGGCGCAAAACTCCGACAAGACTGCCCGCATACCCAAGACATGCCGGCTCTGCTTCGGCACCAAATCGAGTAGCTGATCTCGGCAGGTCAGCCCCGGCTGAACTACTTAAGTTTGATTCTCGCCTTCACCCCCAGGAGCAAATGCCCTCAAGTACTCCGTGTCTTCTTGGGTAATGTCTTGCCTAATTGGACTTCATGCATGTTAACCTCGCAACAGCTTGAAGAAGACGGCAACATCAGCAGTTCGCGGAAGCACAGAGTGAGGCAGAGTGAGGCAGAGTGAGTCAGAGTACGGCTGCAAGGCTTCAAAGCTGTTCCTGGCACTCTGTGCAAGCACTTTGCGCCCTTCTGGATCTCGTGCGTGTGCTCTCCTTCCGCCTTGCTCAACCCATGCTTCGGCTGTGGTGGGACAGCTAGCAGGGGTGAAACAGATTCGTACTGTCTCCATGCTTTCTACAGGGCCTTTGCACTGTGAATTCCTAAAGTCCTACACTGCTCTGCCGGCACCATTCCATGCCTCAGATTGCAAGCCGCCTCGCCGTGCGTGTTTGCTCATTATTGCGGCCCTTTGCTACGCGGCTCTGCATGCGGTGCCGGCACCTATCTACCACTCTGAAAAGAAGTGCCAAGCTTCTGCGCTCCTCTGGGCTCCCTTGAGCGACCTGGATGCCAACTGGCTTTGCCAGCGCCCGGTTGCGTTTTCTGCTGATTCTCATGGCATAGTACGCTGCGCACCCCTCTTTAGGAGGTGGAAGCTACCACGTCGCATAGCAGTGGCTTTCAATCGCAGGAACTCCAAGCATACCCACTCAGGCGACAGGACAGCCCGCACAATCGCAATTCGAGCTGGATTCTTTCCTGATGTGTGCGGATGTGCCTCCGTCCATCCCTGTCTCTCTGACCCTCTGCGTGTGTAGCTTCGTGGGACTACCTTAGCCCACCAAAACCGACTTTTTTGTAGGGTCCCTATAAATCCCATATTAGGGTTTATAATAAGAACCTACGAAAAAAATAGGTTGTGGCAGTTTAAGGTATGGGTCGGAGATCCGGCGAGGTGAGACGCTTCGTTAGCGCTTTGAAGCCCACAGGGCTACAGGGCCGTGCCGTGAATTCCTCGTTGCCGAGAGTACATTGACCGAAGGATGCAATCTTCCCCTGCCCCAAGGTTTATAAACCCTTTCGACCCAAAAGCCTCAACATCCCATAACCCTTAATCCCGAACCATAAGGGTTCTGTAACAGGTTCCTATAAAAGTCCGTTTAAGGGTTCCGATAAAGGTTATTTTAGGGGCTTTGTCAGCCTTCGCCTTTCGGGGCAGAGAAAGCTTAGCCTTCGCAAGGGTCACCAGACACCCAGACCGGTGACTGGCTCGCTTCCTTGCTTTCAAAGACCTAAACCGACCTAAACCCGAAGGCCCCCCCATGTGGAACACTGGAAGTCTCTGACTGGCTAAGTCTTCGGTGAGGAACTTCTCTAAACCACGTCTGCGGACGAAGAGCCTCTTCCAGCTCTGCCCCCCTACATAGAGCGTCTGTGTAACTGCGCCGCCGCGGCAGCTATGAGCCACATCGACGCAACAGGAACTGTATGAGCTGGACGGGCAGCACCCGTCACTGTGACCTGTCGCAGCGTGCAAGAAACGACCAGTCTTGTGAAAGCTTGGAGAGGACAGGTGCAAGGAAGCACAAGCACAAGGAACATCTTGCGATGCACAGCAGCAGCCTTGTTTGTGGTGGTCGCCTGTCCCATAACATCCGTTACGTTGATGACCTGAATCGGGATCTCAAGCTTACTTTACTATGAGGTTACTATAATGTCAGTGCAATCAGCCTACTACGAGGCTTATGTTAATCAGGACCCTACGGTCATTATAATAAGCCTACTATGATAGGGATACTACCAGGCTACTTTTAGGTTCTTCAATGAGGTTAGCTTATATTCGGTTCAAGACTGTTTCTTTGCATTCGGCCCAGCCTTGCCATGGAGGAGGCCAGCAATGGCGATCAGGACCGTGGCTGTCCGACCGCTCACGCGAGCATCCGTCAAATCTGCCTCAACGGCAACCTCGGATCGTATCCGAAATTGTAGCATATTGGAGTGTAGCATGGAATAGTATGATATAGTACAGTGTAATACATCTATAGTATAGTACATTTTTGCATTGCAGTATGCTGTATGCGAAAACACATTAAAGTATAGCATAGTACCCCTGTATTATACTATGCCACATCTTACACCAAAGATTACCGGACGCAAGGTTTGGACTTCGACTCCCCAGAGAGCCCAATACCCCTTAATTAAGGTATATATGGCTTAAATTATATAGGGCTTCATATTATCGTTTAAGCTATAAATTAAGGTATATGGCTTACATTATATAGGGCTTCATATTATCATTTAAGCTGTATTCCGTAATTAGGGGGTATTGGGCTCTCTGGGTCCCCGCTGTGGGCGCGCCTGGTAAGACCGCGTCTCGCAGCAACCTCCTTTGGCAGGCAGCGCTCGCCGCGGGACCGTAGCCAGAGGAGGCAAGGGCAGTGCCTGGTGGACTGGGAGGGATCTGTTTCAAGTTAGACTATGGCATAGTACAGCATGGTCCGGTATCGTATGTCGTATCGCATACTTTGGCAAGGAAGGGCTGCAGAAGACTTTCTCTGCGCTAGCTTCACTTGTCAGACGACGCAGAAACGAAGATGACTGCCGTGTGAGCTGAGAATTCGCAAGGCACGACGGCCTGGCCACATTCGTCCGCGAGCAAGATGTCGTAGCCGTCCTCAGGTCACACACTCCCATGACTGTCCCGCCCATTGAGGTGTCAGGATACTGGCTGGCAATTTGCGAGATGCGATGTGCTTGGGACGCCTTAGGTCTCCACTGTGTTATACTACTGCTAATGTGCGATACGACACTATGCTATAATGTACTGAGCTGTACTACCGTATGATGCTGTAATTGACTGTATCACACGGCAAGCTACCATACTACAATGATATTAGAACAGTATACAGTAGTATGTTGTGCTGAACTATATTGTAACATAGTGCGTCATACAAAACTGTGTCACATTAACTCTTTTGCTATCATATGCTGCTGCATGCTATTGTATCACACTGCACTGTATATTGCAAATGATTATGCTGGGATGCTCTACATGGAATTAGACTGAATTATACTGTAGCGTAGTGTGTAGTGTATTGTGTTTATCTCACGCTGCGATATACTGCGTTACAACATACTACCGCGTAACATAATATTCTCTCCTTGTACCCCCGCCCCTGCAGTGTACTGCAGTACAACATAATATTAATTTGCAACACGATAGAATTTCTCTCCTCGTCCCCTGCATCCCAATCCGAAACATCGTAGGTCCAAGCATGCCGGCCGTGCGTACGACAACGTCAGTGGTGCTAGCTTCTAGGACCATGATGTTCCAATGTACACGTTTTTTAAGATCCTTGTAAGGGGGGTTTCACTGGCACGAAGATCACCGTGAAGTTCATGATGATGAGCACTGCTTTAATGATTGGTTTGCTGTTACAGGTTGCACGTGCTACTGTTGCCACCTCCGTCTTTCTCACTATGTCTGGGATTTGTCGTACTCTTGATACTTACCATCTTATCCCCATGTTCTCAAACCCTTTACTTTCACTACGACTCACCTGTCTTCCCATCGATTTTGCTATTGCCACACATCTCCTCTTGCCCTGAACAACAAACAAGCCCAAATCTGTAACCCGGAAACCACAAAATCCTTGTTCCCAGAACCCTAAACCCTAAAAGGCCTGATCTCTACACCCGGAACCGCTCAAACCTGTTCTTGCTGCCCGGGCGTCGACGTGCTCCTCATCGATCACACCTTCGACTTCCGCTGGTCCAAAGGCAACCTGTGACTTGGACTGTGACAACCCAAAGACTCCAATATCCCTTAATTAGGGAATATTCCTTAAATCATATCAGGGATCCTACTATAATTGAAGGTATATTCCTTAACTAAGGGATATTGGAGTCTCTGACAACAGCTTTGCAGGAGACTTTATCTGGTTGGTAATGGGGTTCTTGAAGCAAGGCTGTGGGTTTATAGGGCTGATAGGGTTCACAATTTAGCAGTCTTCGCTGGGCAATGTGGCAACACACAAGGGACTTCAAAAACTAGAATAGGGTAGTTATCATCATATATCCACCAAAACCCTATTCTAATCAAAAGGTCCCTACATCATCCTTCATGAGGCTCGAACCACACCACGAACCATCCCAGGTCGGTCGTCGTCATCGGTGAAAGGCTCCACATGGCAAACATCCGGGGAGACGCAGCCCGTCAGAGCCTCGGCTGTAGCTGCGGAACAGTCGGAGAGCTGAAGAGATCCAGCTCTATCCCACAAGGTAATAATAATAACAGTAATAATAGTAATAGTAATAACAATAATAATCGTAATAACAATAACAAATGAGTGCACCAATTTCCAAAGCAAGGAGCTGGTTGCTGCTGGCACTGCGGCGACTCGCCACAGAAAAGTGCCGGCCGACCTACGTATCCTGGAGCACAACGAAAGGTGCCTGGCGGAGCAGCGCCATTTTTCGACGGCAGGGGGGGGAAGAGCTGCAGGCTTCAGGTATTTGGGGGCCAAGGGCGCCTGGCTCTTCATCTTCAATGTAACCAGCCGGAACCTGCCGTTTTTGCGACTGCGTCTGGCATTCCGACACAAGCTCTGAGCGTAAGCTCTGGGCTGCTTCAGGAGCCGGGCAGTAGCAGTAAGGCTCCGCCCATTTCCTGGCCGAAACGCTGCTCTCTCCACGCGACGCTTGCAGCTGTCAGCACGGCCCCTCCGACCCAACACGGTATGCCCTGCAGCCCAAGACGCATCACGTAGTCCGGATTTGTGTTACCTGCTGGGCAGATCATCTTCGGCGATCCGCCGCTGAATGGAGGCCTGATGCACTAAACAAGAAGGGCTCCAAGGAAAAATGAGAACCATGATCCAGATTCCGTGGGCTCTCGCACAGCAGGGATATGATGTGATGCATCGTATGCATTCCTCGTTGTGGCAACCTGAACTAAGTTCCCCAACTAAGGACCCAGTTACATCACCCGAAAAAACCCGTTCTAAAGCTAGGAAAACCAGCATGCCCCAAGAAAAACTCTATAAACCTCCTTTTAACTTTATATAGCCCCTTGCACAGCCTTTATGAGTTATATAGGGGCCTTAATAAGTCGAATCAGATTTGGGGGTTTATTCTACCATAACTATACTAAGGAACACCTAAAAATAGTATCGGCAATCATTGAGGCCCTTATCCTGAACCCGCAACCCTTTCTATCCCTTGAAGGAACCCTTAAGGACCCCTTTCACTGTTCTTCTCTCCCAGCGATTTTGCGAGCGCCTGCACCGAAGGCGGCAGAAGCCGCCAGGCTCAACTCGATCACAGCCGAAGAGATCCTCTGTCTGGTTTAGGGTTTTTTTTGATCAATGATAGCGGACCTGTCTGGTTTAGGGTTTAGGGGTTTAGGGGCTTAGGGGTTTAGGGTTTAGGGGTTTAGGGTCTGGTGCTTACTAGGGAATGGGGGAATGGATCCCTATGGTATGGTGCTTACTCGGGAATGACTACGGTTGATGATATAAATCCTGCATTACCTTAAGGACCCTACACTCTGGGAAGTGTGGTATATTATATTCCTTAATATGGGTAATGCAGGATTTAAATCATCAACCGTAGGGAATGGGGGAATGGATGCCTATGGTAGTCCCTATATAGTCCCCAATAATGGTCTCCGAAACCCATATTTCCCCATTCCCTACGAAAAACCAGACAGTCTTTTGGGGACTGTGGGTTTCCTGGGTTCTTGTTAGGGGATTGAGTCTAAATTACCCCAATAGGGATCTGTAGTATGGTAACTTACAGTAAACCACTTAACCAGAACCCAGTTTGGAAAGGCCAGCGCTTTTTTTTGCTCTTTTGTGCAGAGGATTTGGTTCATTGGGGAGAGGCCGGGGGATCTGCTGCAAACAGCCCTGAGGCCCTATATAGTACCCTCATAGATCCCTTGTAGTAGCCCCTTATATGCGTCCGCGTTCCGCGTTCTCGACCCCCCCCCCCCCCCCCAATGGTATCCCCCCCCCCCCGACCCGGGCGACCACACAACAAGAACAAGAACAAGAACAAGAAGAAGAACAGCAGCAACAACAAAGCAGCAGCAACCACGCGGAGGAACCACAGGAACCACAGGGGGGGAGGGGGGAGACAGGAACCAGAAGAACCACAAAAGGGAGGGGGAAAACCAAGAGGAACCACAGGGGGGGGGGGAACCACAGGAACCACAGGGGGGGGGAGGGGGATTACCATGGGGGGGGGGGGGGGGGTGCGCAGATGCTGGCGCATATAGACCCCTTTAAAAGGGATCCTATTCTACTTATTAAGGCCCTTATATCTGAGGATCGCACATATCGGCACGGCGCCGGATTAGGCGGCGGCTTGCAAGGCTCCAGGCGAAGGCAGCCTTCCAGCAGCAAGGATGTCCTGCATGTCTCCTGGCATTGGGTTTAGGGGTTAAGGTTTAGGGGCATTTTAGGGTTTAGGGTTTAGGGGTGCTCCGCAGCTCTCGTCTCAGAGTCAGCTGCAGCAGGCAAGAGTCCGGCCGTCCTGATCTATCACACAGCGAGCCAGGACGCCACCTCCACAGAGAGTGAAGGGCAGAACTGCACAAGCTTGGTCTGCAACAGATGACCTCTGCTAAGAGCATCTGAGACAAAGGGGAGCAAGAAAACCAGTCAGATGGAAAGACGGGCATGCAACAGAAAGACTGAATGTTGAAACGAGGGGAAAGTAGCGGACGACCAGGAGACATACAGATAGGTGAGTGCTTACAGATAGGCAGCCGAAGAGCGAACGGGGGCCACACAAATAGATTGAGAGGTGAACGAATACATCGTACATAGACAGATCATGAGAGAGTGAGAGACGCAGGGTGGGGTGAGGCTGTCAGATAGGTGGCATATATGGATGAACGACAGGTGGACAGACAGAAAGATCGACTCAGCAATCGACAGAGATGAGGAGAATGGCGGAGATAGATGCACCGGTACAGATACTGGAGCTGCCTACATATATGTACCTCGACAAACGGACAGGAGGCAGGATAGACATGTAATATAGTGGCCTCAATAATTGCCAATACTATCTTGGGGGCTGCTTATGATAATAATGGTGAAGTATACCCCAAAACCCTATTCTAATTATGAGGGCCGCTATATTAGGCGGACAGATAGGCCGGCACAGACGGCGGCCTATGAAGCCGTCAGCGCAACGCCACCCAAACTCCGTCTGTTCATATCCAGGTGGTATCTGCGCGGGGACTTCACCTCAACGGAAACAGGTGAATGGAGAAGAATTCGTTGAATCAAGTAACTTCTGGAAGAGTGAACTCCCTCACTTACAGCAGAATTCGCAATTGAGTGTTGGAGGAGTCTGCGAGCAAGTCGCATCTCAGCTCGCACAACGGCAGATCCATCGTAGCTATGGTCCCACTCTCCGTGTTTCCGGACGGACACCTGGATACGCTGGAGGAGAGCACGTGCAACTTGCCGTCTTCTTTCGGCCACGGCACGAGGCGTTCTCAGTCCCGCCGACATAGGGTGCACGGCAAGAAACGTCGCCTCGGCGATTCGTCCGTGGCAAAAGCAGGACTCGAAGCAACGACTCTGCAGAGGCCAACATGCCAGCGAGGTTCAAGAACCTCCAGGCTGGACCATTGCGTTCTCGCACGTGGTTTCCATCATGCACTGCAAGTCCATGAGTGGCAGTGGACCTGGGCCGACGTCAACCGTCGACATATAACTACATTCTTGGTGTGGCTGATGTGTCAAGACTTCCCGAACTCTGAAGTGGAAGGACAAGTAAGTTTGCAGGTTCATGCTTCTTTTTCTGGAGATGCGACCGTGCATCGAAAAGTTGAGGCTTGCATGTCAGCGCAGGCAGGAGGCATGCGCGGGAGGAAAATTGGTGTAGTAAGAGGCAGGTCGGTGCGGCACACTCTTGTGACTTCACAGAGTCTGGCCACACATCCAACTGGGACTCCTGTGCTATAGAAACCGAGAATATGCAACAGTATTCATCACTCTGCAAGGAGCCTGCCACTCACTTCCCCAAGTTCGAAAAGCTGTGTCGGACAGCGCGGCTTCGTTTCCATGATGCAAGCAAACCCGGACGAAGCTTCAGAGAGGACCCTCCTTCGTAGAGCTGTGCATCCTTATAGTAAGGACCTCTGAAACAAGGGCCCCGGTATTCAGAAACCACCACCCTGGTGGTCTTGTACAACCTAAACTTTTGGAACGGAGTTTCGAAGCCACCAGAACTGGTCTCGACTCTTTGCACAAAGGAGTGGGGATTACGAATGCCTTGAGCCGGGCGAGGACGTGCAAAAACCAACCTCCATGCCATCCTACCAGAAGTATTTTAGAAAAGTACGTATGCATTTTCGGGGGCTCAAGTCATCCCGCTTTGCACGAAACATGTTTCAATGAAACGATCTACACAAGCGACAGCTTGTGGAACTGCACCTGCTCAGGCGAGGAGTTAGCTCTCCTCCTGCAGAGTCAACGGTCATGTCTGCCACCATAAGAGCCCTCATCATCATGCTCATACTCTCTACTCGATTTGGGAGTTTCCGAAAATAGGGGACCCCAAAAAACTACCCTAAATAGACGGATCCTTATCATAAAGGACCTCAAATAAAGTACCCCTAATTGTCGGAAACTCTCATTTTTGATCCTATCGAGATTCTCATGGCTGTGACGTCCACCCTCTGCCTCTCAAACGCCCAGAGCAGCCGCAATCATCTGTGCCCAGGGGAGGGGCGCGGCAGCCACGGCCGCAAGGACCAGCAGAACCGAGGCGACGCGACGCTCGGTTTCCGAGGGCTCCGACGCTTCCTGGAACCACAAACTCCAGCCCTGCACCCTAATCTCCCCGAAGCTCACGAACACGAGCACGGTAAGTCTGACCAGCAATGATGAAAGCTCACATCAGGAATGTCAACATTTCGCTCTTCGTGCAAGCCCAGCCTCAGTCAGCAAATGTTGTTCACACCGCGAGGAATAAAGATGAAGGAAGAGGAAGGAAGCACATCACGCGGCAGGACAAGAAGCAAGGACAAGAGCGCAAGCAGCACTCAAAGATTCCCGACCCCCGAAAAGGAGCACTCCTCCAAAGGCGGCGGTGGCTGCTCGGGATTTAGATTTGTAAGCAGGAGGGCCCAAGTGAAGGGCAGCGACAGGAAGCCGCTTCCAAAGCACCTCAGCTGCTTAGAGACTTGACCCGATCATGAAATCAAAGAGTGCTGAATGTAGGGGCCTTAATGATTAGAATAGGGTTTTGGGGCCCATTATACTATACTTGTGATAAGGAACCCCCAAAATAGTATAGGTAATTATTTCGGCCCCTATTTTGGGTCTCTTTGGCCCTGCAGCTTCGGGGAAGTGTGTTTTGCTCCAGCATAAACAGACGCCCTTTGCATGCCACGAGCACCACATCGACAAGACGCCCAGGAGCGGATAGACGTAGCTGGCCTGATTCACGACAGCAGAGTCCAGCACAATAAAAGTCAATCCTGCTTGCGAGAATCCACCTTCCACTCACCTTTGACCTTGCTGTGCTGTCGCTGGTAGTTCTGGCAACGTATGCTTGTCAGCCGTATGAGCATTTCCTCTTGCTCCATCTAATTCTCTTTGGTATTCTACATATTGCCACGACTCATTACCATTCCAAGTACTACTGTCGCTTCATTCTAGTTGCTTGCGTCCCCTTCTTCTCCTGCTGGCATGGCTCCGGTCCTTGTGATCTCACGGATACCTTGCACTTGGAACCCACGGCTTGCCACATAAAGGTCTCGCAAAGAGCTGATGTAGGACCTGTATGCTCAGCGGCTTCGTCTGTGTGCACTCGTCTCCCCTCCCACCCCTCTTGTTTGTATTCGTATTAGTATCAGTTTTGGTGTTACTGGTAGTATTACTATTGCTATTACTAGTATTGTTACCAGGCACCTGGGACAACATCCCAACGACTCTTGGTCAGCATCACGGGAAACGAAGTGGTCTCTTCTCTCTCTGTCAGAGCCCAGAGCCCCAAGCAAACAACGCTTATATTACTATATTATCTTATAATATATTATAATATCATATAATATATTATAATATGTTATAATATGCTATAATGTATTATAAAATGTTATAATATAGTATACTATAGTATACTATATCATAATATATTATAATATATTATAATATATATATATATATATATATATGTTATGTTCTATTATATACAATACCATCAAGATTAGAAACTCTCGTACGGTGCTGCCAGGCACTTAGGGTTAGTCAACGATTCAGGTTTCAGGAACCCTGAACCCATAATCTGAGCACCGGAACTTTGCCCAACTTTTGGCCAGGACGTGGGTTTGGGAGGTGGCCATAAGAGATTGAACCCGATGAGCCGATAGAGCTTAGGGCCTAAACCCTGGACCCTGAACCCGAGATCCTGGAACCGAAATGCAGGGTTTCGGGTTTAGGGCTGCAAGATGCCAGGGCCCCTGGCGTTGTCTGCCAGCTGCTTCGCCTTCCTTGGCTCCCAGCGACTTCGCAGGTCACGGACATGAGCCGCTGTGGAGTGGACGCGATCTTCTGAAGGGTTTAGTGTTTGGGATTTGACGCAGGTGTTTTTCGGGGTCGCTTCTCTTGACAGTTAACATAAACACTAAAACTTCTAGGGTTTAGGATTCAGGGTGTGTGCATCTTTGCCAGCTAACATGCTCTGCAGAATGTCCAACTTCATCTGGGCAGCTCCCGACCCAGCAGCACGGACCAGGCAGCACGTCCATCTGGACTCTGTGGCAGGAGCGCCTGAACAGGTGGCCAAGTAGATTCAGCCATAATATATATATATATATATATATATAATAAATAATATATATATATATATATGTATATTATATTATATATATATATATATATATACATATATATATATATATACATATATATTTCTGCAAATCTGTCTGACTCACCAATTCCTCTGAGGCACCAGGGCAGACATCAGCAGACCTTGCATTGCTGCAAATCTGACAGCGCTGGTCTCCTGCCAGGGCATCCAGATTCGAGGTTTTGCTTAGGATCCGACCAGGGTTTTCATTCCCTCAGATAAGCAAAGCTGGTAAGAGCCTTGATAGCTGGAAATGTGAAGCTGCTGACAATAACAATCATTAACATAAAAACGGACGGACAATAGCCATACTGACAACCGTAATGCCATAGTAACAATCACCATATATCACCATGCTTTTCGTGTTAAGATCACGGTTGCTAAGGCTGTATGTGGACAACGATGGCTGGATGTAGACCTAAAAAGGCACATGCAGGCCACCCTTTCCGTTAGACCTAAAAAGGCACATGCAGGCCCGCCTTTCCGTTCGGAAACCTGTGCATGAAATTATAGGATCCTTAAGGGAGGGTGGTTCAAGGGGGGAGGGTATAAGGAATCCTTAGGGGACTGTAAGGGAACCTTAGGGAGTACTAGGGAGAGTTAGGGATCACTAGGCTATTTATCCCCCTTGGACCCCCCTCCCTTAAGGATACTACAATGAGATGGGCTGCATGCAGAACTAAGTTGGACTCATGTAGCATTTAGCACAAGCAAGACCTGCAGCATCACGGCACCTACGTGTACGGCGAGCGGCGAACGGTCTGGTTACAGGCCAGGATCAACGAGGCTTGAACTTCGTCCCTTTAGTGCAGATGCCTTGTGAAAAGGCTTCCACAAGGCTCTTCGGGCACACTGATTTGGCACTGATGATGGCTGACTGAATCAAATGAGAGCTGACACACACACACACACACACACACATCCGCAATTCCAAGACTACACCAGAATTCCTTGAGCCCCCCCTTGCCAGACTTGACATAGAGTCGGGGTACGCGAATAGCAGCCATTACGGTAACAGTAAGAGTAATAATGGCAATCTGACAAGCATTCGATCACTCATTTCAAAGATGCTCGTTAAGCTAGCAGACACAGTAATCTCACAGCAACTGCAAGTAAGAGTATTCACGAAAGCGTAACAACAATCAGACTATTGATGGGAATACCAGTATCAATCGTGATCATCACCACGGCAACCACCACCAACATCGCCGCCAGCAACAACTATCATCAGCTAACCCTAAACCCTAAACCCTGAACCGTAAACCCTAAACCCTGAGCCCTACCCGCCGAACCCTGAACCTTAAACCCAGTGTAACAGCAGATCCTCCGGTAGGAAGGCCAGAGGACCACACCCCGTAAGGGTGCTGTGCTTGAGAGCCACCAAGTCAGGCGAAAGATCCTCACTTGAAGGGTAAAATGGGTAGTTATAAGGGTTCCTTTAAGGGTCCCTTTAAAGGGATCTAAAGGGATTCTATGAGGGTATAGGGTTTAGGGTCTACTTGGAGGTTGCAGGGCTCTTCGATTCAAGAAGTTTCAGGGTTTCCCGGCTACGGGTCTAGGGTTGTAGAGTCTGAGGTCTAGGGTGTCGGGTTTAGATGGATAAGGTTTGGAGATTTTAGGGTTGAGGGTTTCAGGGTTAGGGTCTTGGGTTTTGCTGCTTTGGGGCGTTAAGGCTGCAAAGCCTTACCTCTTCCAATTTTGCGGTTGGCCGACAAAGAAGGCAATGTGGTCCCAAAAATCCAAAGTATGGTGGTGTGCATAAGTATCCCTGCATGGACGTGGAGGAGGTAACCTACTGTAGTAGTTGGTAGTTGCATATTTCCGAGTGGCTGCCCCAAGAGACAGCAACAAGGATGCCACCGTGACAGCCACAGGAGCAGCCAGGGAGATGGCCAATGCCTCGGTTTGTTTTAGGCCCTACGGAACCTGCTACGGTTGATGATATAAATCCTGCATTACCCATAAGAAGGAATAGACCATAATTCCCATAGTTTAGGGTCTTTAAGGTAATGCAGGATGTATATCATCAACCGTGGTAAGGCCCGGCATCCCTAGACTCGCTCATCCCTCTTCCGCCCCTTCTTCCTCCGACTGACTTCAGCTTTGGCACTGCAGAGCGATTGGGGCTGGCAGTTGCCGCCGGTGCGAAAACCCCGATGAGGCCAAATTGCGGCGATGGGAGGAATGTCCTGCAGGGCAAACGTGCCGAGAGCACCTCTTTGCACGAAGCAACAAAGAAGTTCGCAACGACATGTCAAACCGTGATGGTCCTTGGGCCTACGCTGGTGCTGTTCAGGCTTGCGACAACCGTGCGCGCGACTTCTCCCACCAAGAGCAAGACCAGCATGAGAATCCACGGGGCTGACGAGCCGGGCTGGATCACTGCTCCCAGCTGCTGCAGCGAAGGATTGCTGTCGAGTTGTGTGCTGCACCACCAGACGAGAGCTAGCGAGAGAGGCGCCATCATGGCATCTGTCACTCGGGAGGTTTCGGTGGCATCCCGGACCAGCAGTTCATAAGGCCTGGAAAGGGGCCCTTCATTCTCCTTCTCCTTCGTTCGCAGGAGGTGTAGGACAACCGGGTAGCCCAGCTCCTCTTCCACGCTTTGGCGCAGAACTGCCTCTGAAGCCTGCCAGTTCTCGATAGCCCCCTCTCTTGGGTTGCCAGACACCACCACACCGTCCAGGCGATTCGACCAACTCGAGGATGTTCCTGTCAAAGGCTGAAGGATTGGAGGCCCTCTTCGTCAGGAGCTTAGGGGGAAAAACCCGGGTCCGCTTCTCAAGCTGTGGCGGCTCCGGGAGTTGGATCTCATATGGGCTTTAGCATGCTTTAGCTTAAGGCTTAGATTCGAGATTGACACTACCCCGAAGGTCCGAAGAACGGCAGCTCCATCCGCTGGAGGCCGCTCAAGGCCTTGCGTGCCTGAACACACGTGACAGGAGCGTGCTTGCCATTTCACATAGAATCCTCTCCTCCCGACACGGAAATCGCAGGCCGCCTTGACGTCAGCACTGTCCTTGCGTGCCTGGTCCAGCGCTTCCTGCAGCACCTCCCTGCTCTCCGCAGGCTTTGGCTGCACGCTGCGACGAAAGCGGTCTGGCTGTTGAAGGATGGCCCCAAAGGTCACTAAGGCAGACACCTGACAAGGCTCTGATCACAAGGTACGTGCGATTCTCTGTGCAGCTTCGGCACAGTGAAGGCAATCGGACGCAGCCACCAGGCCTCTGCAAGGTTCGAGAAACCCCTTTGGAATCGGGATGCTGTTTGACGTTGACATGCATGGCCCTGGCCCTGGGCATACACGACTCAAAGAGGCCTCTGTCGTCTCCCAGGCGACCTCCCAGTAAGCCGCGCTGTCTTTGCGACCTTTCGCAGCAGAAGCTCTCACGGCTCCAGGCGACTTTCGGACGGGTCCACGGGTCCTTCCGCTGTGCGGCGGGCTGCTCGAAGCCAGGCAGCTGCAGCAGGCGCCAAGGCCTCGCGGACTCGATTGACAAACGGCGCACATCATCTATCGCCATGTCACAGAAGCTGCCCTACCTCAGGACGCGGTCTGTGCCTCGCGCGCCGAAGGATCTAGTTGCACCCCTCCTTCTTCGGGCCTCATCTGCTTCCGTTTCTGTGGAGCCCTCTGGACGCCGAGTCGTGGCTATTCCTGAGCTCGCAGAGAGACTCGCTGCGATCTGAAGACAGGTCGACTTTGCGGCAGGGTCTCGGGAGAAGCACTCAATCAGCGTTCTGCTTGACAGAGCGACTATGGCCAGCAGCACCCCAGACCGAAATACCATCCGTCCCGCCCGACATCGCATGGCTTCTACCGAAGACTTGCACACAGCCCTGTTTGAGCCCGCGAAGCTACAGATGATCTTCGATTCTCGCGCTGACAAACAGAGGCAAGGAGAGAACGAGCCCCACGGCCGAGACAAGGGCATGCTGCTAGAGGCAGACATCCGGAGAGCTCCTCAGCCAACACAAAGAAACTTCGGGGCTCTCGGCTCTCGCTCTCTGCAGCTTGGAATCTGCCACCACCTCGCACCCTGGGGGTGCACCCGCACGACAGGCGACACTAGGCCGGCCGCCATAACCTGAGTGCCAAGCAAAGCAACGAAAACGAAGCTGGCAAGTGTCTTCCCACATGCAATTACCATGAGGCTCCCACCGTCCGCGCAAGTGTAGGTCCGGGTCTCGTTGTCGTAGTCATAGCCCGGTGGCATGGGCTCCGGCGCCGGACAAGAGGGGATCTGGCGCAGCAGAGAGCGACTTCCGCTTTACCAGAATCTGGAACGGCCACGTACGTCTACAGCTGATTACAGTGATGGATATGATAAGAAGGTCGGAGATCTCGGAGACGGGTTCGCTTGGGAAGGGCAGGTGGGCAGTGACAACCACCACGTTCTACGGTCGAAACAAAACCGAAACCCTCAAACATAGGTTCATGGGAAGTGTAGGGTTGTAAGTAGGATAACTATGGTTATAACTTAGTTATAACCTATGTTAGGGGACTTATAACCCCACTTATCACTACCCGAAGCCCTCAAACCCAACCCTTTCAAGAAGTGGCCTGACAACGTGGTGGTGTCCAGTCAATCCTTCGCCCCGGCTCTGTGTTCTCCTCCGGGCACTCAGCGACCTGAAGTGTTGATGCCTGTTTGAAGGTTCCGAAACTACTATTACTTTTATCATCATCATGTCTACTGGAACCAGAAATGTCCAGAACAAATACTACTGATGTTATTATTGCCAGTGTTGTTGTTATCCGGTGCTGTGAGCTGAGGAGTGCACGGTGGGCAGTCCGAGATGTGGCTCACGACAGGCCCTCAGTAAGCAGGGCTTCATGCCTTTGAAATCCCGAGTTCGTGGGCGCATCTTAACGAAGCCTCAGAAGCAAACTACATGGCTTTGCTCACCGAAACCAGCTCATGGTTGGGATAGTCTCAAAAAACTATTAGGTTTAAGTACCCATAAACATGTAAGATGTTTCCCAAGTGCGACAAAGACAAGGTTAGGGTTTAATAAAGCCTTGACACACCTCGCAGCTTTCCCCGGAAGAGATGTTCACACAGTCAGAGAAGTCCAACTCGCACTCCTCAGGTTTCACGCAGGCACTCAGTGACTTGATGTTTGATCTGACTGTAGTCGCCTTTATAGTGCCCCTACCACTTCGAGTAACTCTGGCGGTCATAATGGCAACCCTGATAGTAGTAGAAAAAGGCCGACTCTCATATCTAATAACCGTTAAACCCCAAACCCTAACCCTAATAGCAACCCTTCCAGTAAGCTGCATGGGAAGGGACGTCGTATTCTGTTGGCACGGCACATCCCAAGATGGGATTGCAGCCTTCCAGAGACAGATGAACCTCGCAGCAATCCTCAGAAGCGAACCGGGGCTCATTCTTTCGCATTGTGATCATGACCAAAGTGGTCGTTATGATGCTGATTCTTCTCGTTGTTCTGGGTTTGCTTATACTGCTGGTTATTCTGATGTTTCTGGTTATTCTGGCGACTATGCCGACTATGGTTATTACTTATTACGTTTGCTATGATTTTGTGAGGAGTGTGATGCCGACTACCCTGATTAACATGATGGTTGTGAATTGTTTCGATGGGTGTGATATTCTGAGATGATGATAAAGACGAGGACGAGGCTGAGCATTAGGAGGAGGAGGAGGAGGAGGAGGAGGACTGAATGACGATGACGATGATGATGATGATGGTGTTGGTGATGATGGTGCTTTATGATACTCATGATGATCTTGAGGATTATGATCGGTATGGTGTATACATATGCACGCGTATACACACATACACTGAGAAGCATCCTTCTTTTAAAACTATCCAAACAAAGAGGCTCTTCTTTTAAAACCCGGTTCAAGCCATGTGGCCCAAGAAGAATCGCAGCTCGACCTCACGGTGCCGGCATAGCCAGGAGCGCAATGCCAGCCAGAGGTGGTCCGCTGGTATCCTCGCGAGTAGGGCTTCGGGGCTCCGGCTTCGGGGTTGCAAAAAAAGGCCGCTTCGTCATAACATTCCTTGCGTTGCAAGAATTCTGAGAGAGGTAAGTCATAAACGCACACCCGTCATTGGAACCCGATGAATGATTTCAACACAGGTATGGGCAAAAATGTAGATTGCACAGGCGACGAGACAAGCTTGGCGTAAGAGTAGGCTGTGCGACAGGTGCCTTCCCCGATTGGCTCGTCGCAGAAGGGCATAATGCACCGCGGGAGCGACCATACCAGGCCACCAGCCGCGTCCTGGTTGTCCTCAGCTACTTAAGGCTTAGACAGGACCCCACACCTCAAACTCCAAAACCCAAAGCTGCATAACCAAACACGTTGCCCTGCCCTAGTGACACGACTTGGTACCCAGCTGACTGATTCCAACCTCAGCCCAGTTGCATGAGGGCAGTGGGCTACTTCCATTTCACCAACGAACGGCGGAATGCAGGTGAAGTTGCACTCCTGCGCAAAACCCGAAAAAAGAAAACAACGACAAACCCTTGAACGATAAACTCCTCGACCGCGAAACCCCTTTACCCACTAAAGAAACACATTTCATATCAAAAGGCTCTACATGCAAGATTGTGAGCTGGACACTCCAAGACGGAGAAACAGATACACACAAATTACATACACATGCATAAACATATAGACAGACAGCCAGACAAATAAACAAATCGTCACGCATGCACATGTGGGTGCGCGGGTGTGGGCGGTTGTGTGTGGCTTTGGGTGGTTGGGTGTGATGGTCTTCCACGTATGATATCATGTAGTCTATGAACAGTGAATGGCACGGATCGTCACATCTGGGGGCTGAAAATGTAAGTATACCAGTATACATGCATACATATGTACATACACAAAAAATATACACGCAGATAGTTGGAAACATCCATGTGTGCACATATCTATCTATCCATCTATCTACCCAGCTACACACGCCCACACACTATATTGCCAGTTTGTTTTGTATCGTATCACATATGCATACTGCATGCACGCATGCATACAGTACAATACCTCACAATACAGTACAATACGTCACAACTCAAGGCAATCCAACACAACCCAACACCAGGAAGGACAAGACAAGACAAGACGAGACAACATGTACATACGTACATACATAAGTACCTACGGGCACAAAAATTTACCATGTAAAATGAAGGTACACCTTGTATTATGTAAACGTGCAAGAGATTTGCCCCAGCTGTGGTTTATATGGTATGGCCAAGCATGATATGATAGGAGTACGGGGTGGTATGTTATGATGTGACGGGATATGATATCATGTCACTCCTGGCCAGCAGGCAGGGAGCCATTGCAGCCAATCTCAACGTGCGTGCAGAACGCCAGGGTAGGCACGTCGCAGGCCAGAGGGGCATAGCCTGGGGTTCAGGGTTTGGGGATTAGGAGACCAACAGTTCGGTGGCGAAAGATGTCTTTGCATGGATACAACATGCCAGAGGCAGCTTGCAAAGACACGCAGCAACCAGAGAGTGATGCCATCGACCAGCATTCCGACATCAATTCGCAGTGATATTCCGCTTTGCCGCTGTAGCTTTCCGCACCTCTGCAAGGAACAAGTGGCTCTCCTTACACACCAAGACTCATCAAAGACGTCGCAAACAAGCTTGGGATCGCACATTGCCATTCGCCAGACTCGGCCAACACGTAGCCTTCGGGGACAGGATCCGGAGAATGGCATGTCAGCTCGCAGTGCGGCATGGTGAAGTTGAACCTGGCAGATAGGGTGCGAGTCTACACGACGGGGGGCTGTGGAGCAGGCTTCAACGTACAGAACGGCAGGTAGCCAAGGGGCTCAAAGGTAGGATCCGTGTTGTCTGAAGGACAAATTCCTCAGACGAGGTTCGGTGGACTGTCGCAAGGATTCGCAGCCAAGTTTGGCAAAACAGGAACCCTCATTCTGAAACCGGTCCATGCGTCCATACGAAGGCAGCGAGCCGGTAAACGGCCACTGGCAGGCAATCTCACAGCTGTCTCCGGGGTTCAGGAACGTGCAGTTCGAGAGGTCCAGCATGCACTGATCATCCGGGAGTACCGGCGCCACACATGGCATAACTGGCATGCATCCTGCCACAAGGAAGCATAGTGCTGAGGTCCAACTCGGGGACCTATACATTATACAGTTATACATACACACACATATATACATAAATATAATGTATATACAAACACACATGCAGAAGCGATGCATGTAGTTTGTTGCAGAACAGGCCTGACAAAGTCAGGGACGCATTGCACACGTGGCACTCCGTGACGACTTCTCCAACGTATCCTGGTGGAGCTTATATAGTTCACAGTCGCTTCTGGCACTAAGAGTGCGAGAAGGTAGTGCAAAGAGGGTCTACGGATGCGGCACATCTGTCGTGCTTAACTCCACTTCAGTTCCGCTTTCTACGGTCTGCCCCAGCAAAACTGCTATGGCAATCCCGAGTGAACACGCGCTTTCTCTCTGTTAAGTCGCCGAGAATCCCCGCTGACAGGTCCATGTCCCATCTGTTAGCTTCGTGTAGCCCAGTGGTGCAGGATGCGGGTCGATGCAGACCTGCACAGTGCAGCGGAGAGCCGTGAGCTTAGGGTTGAGGGTTTAAGGTTTAAGGTTTAAGGCTTAGGGTTTAGGGTCTAGGGTTTAGGGTCCCCGCTAGTAGGAATCACTTTGAGAACCTGGAATTCGCAGCGGATTCGCTCGAAGTCGATGACTTTCGTGGGGTCAATATTGCCTGGGATTCAAAAGCATCTCCACAACTCGACAGCCACAAGCCCCCTCCTTGTGCCCAGACACCTACGGGGCAGCTGGGCTCCGTGGAATTGTCGGGGAGACCTGGGGCTGAGTGCGGTGAGGAGATTTCGCAGAAAAGCGGATGCCTGAGCAAGTAACCCGCCATGGAGATGTTGCTCAGCGACTCTTCTTCCATCTCAACCTCATCCTGATTTGAAGCAATATAATAGATATATATATATATATATATATATATATATATATTTAAATTTATATTTATATTTATATTTATATGTATATTGATATTTATATTTATATTTATATTTATATTTGTGTTTGTATTTATATTTATATAAAGCTGGCGGAAGGGCCCATCAAAGTCACAGCAGCAACACAGCAGGGAGGCCTCCTCCCACACGTAGGAGGTGTTTTCCACGTAGCCGGCCAAGCAGGGGACTCGGCACATCTGTCCAGGGCCGGTCCCGGTACATGCGGAGTAGTTCAGGCCACAGATCTGATCCTGCAAGGGCCACCCGAGGACACATCGATCAAAGGCGATGCAACTCACGGTCGGTCCTAGTATGGGGGCCTGAATACTTAGAGTAGGGTTTTATGGCCCATTAAAAGAGAAGTATATATATTATGTGAAAAACCCGCCCTCAGCGCATGGATCCGCCATGAGCATCGTTCGGAAGGCTTTCTGTGACTTCAAGGACAACCCCGAGTGATTAGCTTCCGTTTGGAAGTTGTTTCGTCTGTTCAGTTTCTGTTTCTCGTGTCGGTGTTCTTACCTTTGGTGAGTAGGGAATGGAAGAATGGTAGCAATAGTAGATATAATTGTACCCCATTCCTCCATTCCCTACTAACCACAGGTAAGTTTTGTTCGGTTTCGGTCAATGCTCTAACCAGTCCCGAGCAAATCCAATGGCAAGAGTTGTTCTGGCCGCAAGTTCTGCAACCCTCCGACATGCCCCTGCTCGAATCTCCTAAGAGGCAGAACAGCGTATGGCTTCCACCTGCGAAGCAGCGCGTTAAGATCATCTGGATGTGCCTGCTGTGTGGTTTAACACTTTGACAGGCTTACATGATTTCAATAATGTACATCAACAGGTTCAACAATCTGTGCTTTGCTTGATCACGTCGGGTAGAATATAGCCCACGTCGAGGCTCTGAGCTACGACATGGCGCAGGCGAGCACGCGACTGAAGTGTGTAACTCAAGCCTTAGATTCTGAAATTTCTCAATGTTGACAAACACCCGAACTGCCTGGTGCTAGGGGCGCACTCACAAAGCTACCACATGATCAAACAAAAGTGGCCTAGACGCAGGATACGCAGGCACCGGCCACTATCACGGCAAACTGGGGGATTGGAGGCTACAAGACAACGGTACAAGGGGAGAGAAACACCGTCACGACAGAAATGAATAAGCCTGTTTATAATGCTGTATTGAACATGTGCTCATACATACCTGTTTTTATACATAATATACGCATAGTCACACACACACATACACGATGTACATGGGTACAGGGCAGCTACAGAGCTGATGCGCCAAGAGCATCCCAAACAATCCGCACAATCAGGATTCAAGCTGGTGAAAGCTTCCGATCTAGGATTGAGTTTTCAAGATTCCCTCCGCCGATTGCATCATTGCTTGAAGCTGCTTTTGCTGTTTCTCTCCAACGGCATAGCAATTCAGTTATTCCCCAAAGACCCTACAACCCCAAGGCCCGTCCTTGAACTCTAGAGCCCAAAACTCAAATCCTCAACCCCAAAAAGACCCTAATTCCTAAATACCCTAACTGACCCTAATCCCCAAATCCTAAACCCCATAAACCCTATTCCCCAAACATCCCTAAACCCACCAAAAACCCTCACAAAGTGGGGTCCTCTTGAGCTGGCAAAGCACAAGGCACCAACTCGTGGCCTAGGTGGGGCTTCTAAGGCCTTTGAAAAATATTAGTAAATAAGATCCTCTTAAGCCCAACAAGGGAAAATACAAAAAGTCCCAAAGCCCTACCTAGTGGCAGCCGGATAGGATGAGCATCGGCGCACAGAACCGAGCGAGATAGCAGTCCCACTCGGCCTTTCGGCTTCTTAAGGGCTCTTTTTTATAATACTAATAGCAAGACTAATACTATTATTAATACTAATACTAATAGTAATTAGGGTTTAGTGTTTCGGTTTCAGGGTACTGGTTTAGGGTTTGGGTTTGAGGGTTTAGGGTCCGGCGCTGCCTTTCGGGTTTTGCGGTTTGGGTTTTAGGGTTCAGGGGCTCGAACGGCCCTGTACAAGTCGAGGCTTTTTGGTATGATCCCAAACCTGAAGCCCCAAAACCCGCGTGCCTCTCCGATGTAGCCTTCAGCACACTCGTAGCTCCCGTTCACCTGGAAGGGTGTTAGTGAAAACCCCTGCACCTTATGATCTGACAAAATGCTCAGACATCCCCTGAAAAACATGGCCCAACAACCAGAAGCCGGGCTTTCCTGGCCTTGTTGTAGCCTTCGGTCAGAGGCACGGGCTCCTGGCATGGACTCTCCTAGGAGTCTGCCAAGTGAAGCAGCGGGGCTACATACGAGTATCGTTCAGCGATCTCTTTGTCGCTTTAGCCTGCGAGGGGCCTGGCCTCGCAGCCGAAGGGGAAGCGGCAAGAAGGAAGCTCTCCCAACACGAGCTGCGTCGAATCCACCTTATGCTCTCACCATGGGGAGGGCCGCGCGTCGAGGGCTCTGGGGCTCTCGCGTTGTCCGCCGGACAGTGATATGTGCTCGGACCACCCACCAAAGGTGGAGTGCAGCTCACGTTGCAGCTCTGCCCCGGAGGCAGGTCCCGGCAGGCCGAGACGTCATGGCCTCGCAGCTTCGCTCAAGCGCGAAGCGCAGTTGGCACAAGGCAGGCTCCACTCTCTCAGCAGCGGACGGCAGGAGTCTACCGTTGGGGCCACGCCTCGATGGTGCCAGGATTGACGTTCGGGAACCCTGCCCTAGGAATGCACGACCCTTGAGGCTTCCGCATGGCTGCGACGGCGCACCTTGGGATCTGTAGCATGGAGCCTCTACAAGATCGTCATAACATGTGATTCTTGGCTTTGCCAGAAAGGCTCCAAATTACACTGTGGACCTGACATGGTACCTATAATATAAGGGCCTTACTGATGAAAACAGCGTGACAGGGTACAGTTGTCCACGCCATCCCCAAATTGCGCAGATTCATCTGCTGACCCTGGAGGAGTACCCTCTCCATGCCGGCGAAGACACAGCCAGAGAAAGATGTCACGGTGACACATTCCACTGTCCCGGTGGCACTGCTGTAAGATCCTGCAGATGCAGTCTGCACTGTAAAGAAGAGCCCACAACGACGCTGGGCATTGGCACACAGTCCAAGTCGACACATGACTCTTCCTGCGTATGACAAAAGAGCCAATCTCGCTATATATCTATATGTATATGTATACATAAATACATATATTTATTTATTCATACCTATTTATTATATATGCCACTTACGCACAGACAAAGTCCAAAACCCCGTTGTCATGTTACCCGGGCATGCACCTTGCAAGTGGCAGGAGATCTGCGCCAGGCCAGCGTAGCCAGGCGCGCAGCGGTACTCGATGCCTGCTAAGGGTAGGGGGAGCAGGGTTTAGGGTAGGGTTTAGGGTAGGGTATACTATATTATACTATACTGTAATTTACTACAATATTCTATAATGTACCATACTATGCAAGTTTAGGGTTTAGTTTAGGTTTTGGGGTTTAGGGCTCGTTATGCGTAAGCTAGGATTCCGGGTTTCGGGAGTCTAACAGTACTTTGACCGGTTGGTCCTAGGCCGCCTGAATGAGACGGACATGAGTGGGAGTCACTGTATCCCGGAGTACTGGTATTTTGCACTTGGGGCTTTGGTGCTGGTCCTAAGTCGCCTCACGCCGTCGAAAGTCGTATCACGGCCGCTTTATCCCATTGAGGCGCACAAACAGGCGAAATTCACATCACATGCCAAAAAAACACAACAGTTTGGTCAGTCATCAAAGTGACGCTGCAATTCGACATGGCACTGCCGCAGAAAGAAAACCATGCGATTCGCTGGACATGCTGCGACAGCCCGCGATCCGTGTCCCAAAAAACACACACAGCATCCGGCCATTCCCCATGTGTACGCTCGATTTCACCAGCATGCCCGTGAGACATACAGTTGGTTGCACCAGATCCTACACCCTGGACCCTAAACCCCACAAGCTCATGCCGGGCAAGTGTCTGGCCACATTCGCACCGTCAGGCAGCTGGACTGTACTGTTGGAAACATTGCCAGCTGCGGCACCTGCGACTGCCAGATGCACTTGAATGTACGGCCTGGCTCTCATCGCGCAGTTCCCAAGACTGCCACTTTTCCGTCAGAGCCTACATGGACGTAACCTTCTGGTATCACCTCTGGTGGTGGGCAATACATGTTGCACCTCGGTTAGGGCAACTCATCGACAGCTTCAGGCGAGCATGAGACAGCATGTGCATCACCATGCCAAAGCTCATACAGCCGAGCTGTTTGATGCTGTTTGCAACCAAGGAACGTAGGCAAGTCGTACTCCATTCTTCGTCTTGGATCGATGTTCCGCTCCACACAGGAGGCATTCGTGACGTCTCCTAGGCGGACATCGCACGAAGACTTCACATTGAGTTTCCTATGTCAACAGCCGCCCCCCCACCCCCAACGGTCAATCGCTCCTCGCATCGGCTCTCTGCACGAAAGCTGGCATATCGTCCCCGGTGCAGGGCCAGTGTACTCCGCGATGTTCGTCTGAGAGCGGGGAGCACACAAAGAGGCAAAGTACATGTAGTGCATCGATACACTTCGCTGCCAGCAGGTCAGGCTGGGGCTAGCCTGGCTCTTCTCTTCGCACTCCGTGATGTTGAAAGTGCATGTATCGAAGGAACGAGGGTCGATAGGCATGCACGGCAGCATCTGGAAGCAGCCCTGCAATGTCCTTACGCATGCGCTCATCACTGCATTCTGCTTGAAGGCTGCAGATGCGGCCGACGATTTGCTGCCTTTGGCTAAGGGCCCCGGCACTGGAACAGCACAAGTGGTACCTCGGCTGAAGATCCAAATGGCACAGTCGGCATTCATTCATCAGCCCTTCATTCTCCCTGGCTTCCAAGTAACTGTTTACAGAGCAGGTGTGATTTGGTGCGCCAGTCCAGCCAGGTGCACAGGTGTAGGCCGGATCCCTGCATCTGGTAGCAATGTTCGGCGCTAGCTTTGACATAAGAAGGATGCGGTGTCAGCCACACTTCGCAGAGGCATCACACCCTTTGAGCACTTGCCTGTTGATCTCCGTGCCGTTCTCAGTTTCCAGCAACAGGTCATGAAGCTTGATGTAGCCTAAGTTCTCAGTTTGGGTCGAACGCTCTTCTGCAAAGTCAGGCCTCCAGAGTACGACCGACTCCGAAGGTCCAAACAGTTCTCAAACAATGCAGACCATAGCACAGCAGTGTAAAAGCAAGCAGCCCGGCGGTGGTGGCGGGCTTGGACAGAAGAGCTCACAAGTCGGGATCTGACGAACTTCCACCTCCTTTAATGGGTCCACATTGTCCTGGCTACAAACTGCACTCCAGCGACAGTCCAACTCCAACGTCTGTCCAAGGCAGCAGATCTGCAGTGCTGCTCGCCACTTTGTTTATTCATCCCTGATATCCTGTGGGCAGAACAGGCCATCTTCGTAGACCTTGGGTCACCGAGTGCTTTCTTGCTTGTACTGGGAGGAACTTCCGGGACAGCTCATTGCAATGCTGTTCCTACTATGACCAGTATCGCACAGATCGATATGTGTTGCTATGTCTCTCGCTATTGTCGATGGCTGTCGGTCGACACTGACCAGAACGTGTTACTAGCTCTGGGAAATGACTCTTACATCAGAAAATGTAGTTGGTGAGAGTCCTATCACCAATGTTCACAAGGACGCCAATGACGTTGATGACTTTCCTGCCTCATGGCACCATGTTCGACGAGGGACATCAGGGCTATAGAATGGATAGCGGCAGATGATAGCACAGGAGCTGCCCGATGGCAAATCCTCGCAATTCACGGCCTGGCCGAGATAATCATCGCAGGGGACCGCACGCACATAACCTCTAAGCCCTTGCCTCGTACATGCACTTGTCGATGTAAGTAGGAGGCTGGCAAGGCTGGATCTGCATGCAGCCCGACAGAATCCTCAACACGACAGCATTGACAGCGTTCGGCTGACGTACGAGTTCGATCCCCGCCACCAAAAGGATGGAATGGGAACTTCTCTAAGTTACAGTAGGACCTCGGATCACCTGAACTCTTATCAAAATGGGTACATTCAGCGCACATTCTAGCGAAAGACAACTTCGAGCTCAAGCACTTAGTCTCATCCTCGTGTTTGTCTGAGTTCTGCTTATGGGTGGGTAGCTAAGAGCTGTGACGAGGGTCATGTAAGAACCGCAAGTTTCGTTGATGACCTCCGTCTCATTGATGACCTGGGCAGCTGAGCATGGAAATTTGTGTCATATTTATATATACATACAGACATAGATATAGCTATAGATACCCCAAAGTATCTGAAGGTGTCAGCTAGTGGGGAAACTCGAGAAGAGGCTTCTGCGAGAGTTGGCAATGTCCCTTTGAGGGTTTTCGGGCTTCTGAACCCCGCCAAACTCAGAAGCCCACGACCACGAACGACAGACGAATTTACCAGAGACCCTAAACCCTAAACCCCAAATAACCAACCCTAAACCCTAAACCCTAAATGACCAACCCTAAACCCTAAAGAAAGGTCGCTAAGCGACCACAGGATGAGTTCCCAGAGGACCAGGACAGCCGGACCAGGAGAAAAAGGTCCAAAGAACCAGACCCAATCAAGAGAAAAGTGAGTGCACATATGCTCTGTATATGTTTATACACGTATAAGAAAATATACATATATATATATATGTACATACATATTGTTTTATATTTATATACACGTATATATATATATATATATGCATGTATGTACGTATGCGTGTGTATGTCTATGCATATGTAAACATACATACATGTTTATATATATATATATATATATATGTATGTATGTATGTATATATGTATGTATGTATGTATTCATGTGTATGTAGGTACATATAAACATTTCTCCGTCTCCCAAACTCTCTGCCTATCTATCTACCTACCTGCCCAATTGTCTACCTATCTATCCATCTAATTATCTAACTCTCTGTGTGTCTTCTTATCTACCTATCTATGCGTGCGTACATATTGTACACATGTGTACAGACAGCTTAAGTTACAGGTGTGTATATGTATACACACACGAACAAGTGATAAATGTACTAGCGAACGCAGAATCAACAATGATTCCAAAACATGTAAACAGCTGAAATCAATGTCAAGGATCACCAAAAACACAAGTCAATGACAAGGGATCAAGATACAATAGCTGTGGAAAGAAGGCATGCAAGAAAGAAATGAAGACCTCGTTAACAAAAAAACGTATTTGCTCGCTGTCTGTTGTACACATCTATATATTCATATATATATATATATATATATACATATATATATATATATATATATATTGTATGGTAGTATGTGTGGAAGTAGTAGTAGTAGTAGTAGTAGTAGTAGTAGTAGTAGTAGTAGTAGTAGTAGTAGTGGTAGTAGTAGTAGTAGTAGCAGTAGCAGTAGCAGTAGCAGTAGCAGTAGCAGTAGCAGTAGCAGTAGCAGTAGCAGTAGCAGTAGCAGTAGCAGTAGCAGTAGCAGTAGCAGTAGCAGTAGCAGTAGCAGCAGTAGCAGTAGCAGCAGTAGCAGTAGTAGCAGTAGTGGCAATAGTAATAAAGAGTAGTAGCAGTAGTACTAGTAGTAGTAGTAGCAACAGTAGCTGCAGCAGTAGTTAGTAGCAGCAGCAGCAGTATCAGCAGTAGCAGCGGCAGTAGCAGCAGCAGCAACAGTAGCAGTGGCAGTAGCAGTACAAGTAGCAAGTAGCAGTAGCAGTAGCAGCGGCAGTAGCAGCAGCAGCAGCAATAGCAGAAGTAGCAGAAGTAGCAGCAGTAGCAGCAGTAGCAGCAGTAGCAGCAGTAGTAGCAGTAGTAGCAGTAGTAGCAGTAGTAGCAGTAGTAGCAGTAGTAGCAGTAGTAGCAGTAGTATCAGCAGTAGTTGTAGCAGTAGTAGCAGTAGTAGCAGTAGTAGCAGTAGTAGTAGTAGTAGCAGTAGTAGCAGCAGCAGCAGCGTTAGTGGTAGTGGTAGTGGTAGGTAGCAGTGACAGTAGCCGTAGCAGTAGCAGTAGGGGTAGGAGTAGTAGTCGGCACCGTTGCGGAACTTCCACGAAGGCTTATTTGGCTGTAGAGTTGGCCTTTCGTGAAAATGCGTCCTCAAGGACCGGTAGATCAACTACCATGTGTGGGTGTGTGCGTGCTCTATACTGACACATGCCGGCTGACTACGAAAAAAGTTGCACAGACTGCAGGTTTACATTTAATGCATGGCTGACAGCATAAACGAAGCAGTCTTCTGCAAACACCAGCAGACGAGCGGCACAGTGAACATGGGCCTGTCCAGCATATCCGGTTGCACATTGCCAGGAGCTTCCGATCTTCTCGTAGCCTCCGAACAAGAGTGGAAGACCGTTCTCACACTTTCTGCCACAGATCAACATAGAGCATGTTTCATCTAGATCATTTCTCGATCATGAGCGTTCCTCGTCCTGGCGGTCATTGCCGCCTGCTTGCAAAAGGCAGGTTGACATAAGAGCCTGCAGTCCTGGGAACATGGACGGCGTCGGCTGCGATCTAAAAATGAACATCGGGTCTGCTTCAATCTCAGTTGGGGCTGTTTCGTCCCCGTCCCGTGACACGAGCAAGTAAGTGAGGTAGATGTTGTCGTAGGCAAACTCGTCATTGCCGTCCCTTGGGGTCGGTGCAACCCTTCGAACAGAGCATCGTCTCAGCAGGGGATGTCCTAATATGCTGATGTACCAAACCATCTCGCCTTCATGAAAAGGAGCATCGCTTGATGGCTTCAGGCCCAGCATCGCTAGAAGTCCAATCTGCTTCCGATGGTGCTCCGTGGCCTGGTCAGCCAACATCTGCAGCCGACAGGACCGTGCTGCTTCCATCTCTTCAGGACTCTGCAATGTGAATGTAGCATCGACCTCCCACAACACTCGTCTCGGTGTCTGGGTTGTCGTGCTGATTTGCTTTAAGGCTTGCCGGTCTTCAGTTCTGAAGTTGCTCCCTGGGGCATACTCGGCCAATCGATACGGCTGCCCCAAGATATCTCGACGCAGCCTGGGTGTCAAGCCAGACAGCGCATCCATGTCGTTGACAACCACCAGCTCTTCCAAAGATGACGGCAGAGCGAGTGCCATGCAGCCATGGTGGTCTTGCTCATCAGGAAGACAGAAAGCCATGGACCTGAACGCAAGGAGCCTCAGCAACCGACAGCCAGAGAAGTCCAAAGTCCGATAGGCCTTGTCCACAAGGTCACGATCCGAAGTGATCTCATCAGTACCCCAGAATATAAGTTGCCGAAGGCCGGTCAAGTTGGAGAGTGCAGCCAGATGCCGCCTTGAGGCGGCTGGGAGATGTAAGCGGACATCTTCCAAGGCACTGAAGCCTCGCAAGGCGATGCTTCCCAGGTGCAGCGCTCCGGAAGATCTTTCACCTGGCAGGATTTCAAACGTAAGACTCCGAAGAGTGGACCGCCAGGCTCGGAGGCTGCGCAGGGCATCACCTTGCCGCCCACGCCCCGACCACTCGCCACGGTAGGAAAACTCCGCGACCTTCGGGAAAACTGCTGTGATGCCGTCGAAGGACTGCAAAGACTCTGCCTCCAGTGACAAGCAGGATGTCGAGCAACCGTCCACTTGATGAAGGCATAGACCGTGCTCATCGACGAGAAAATTCAGGGCTTCAGCAAAGGACTTTGCCATCCGGTGAAGGTGCAACTTCACGACTGCCGCGACTTCATTTCCGACACCTTAATGCTGAAACTTCCTAGGGTAGTGTACCAGGAAAAACGAAATACAAAAATCTGAACATGGGCCCATCGGAATCGCTTTACCTGGAACAACTTGGTTCCCGGCAGAGCAACAAGCGCTTGCAGTGTAGGCATGTGCTGGGAAGCTGGCACACGCAGCGCCCCTTTCGCGAACGGTGTCTGCTTCCCAACTCTTCTAAGAGGCCGCAGCTTGTCACGTCAGCGTCTAACACGGACGTGTTCGGCGAAGGCCCATCGGACCTGCGTCCCTCTTTGCAGGGATCATGTAGATAAACGACACGAGACGGAGGAAGAATTCTTGATGTACAGCAAGGTGGAGCGGAGATCAGTAGCGTCAGATCCAAACATGTCTCGCCTGGAGACAGATCCGCAGAGAGGAAATCCTTGTTGCGCAAGGTCCTTGATCCCAGAAGCAGATTTTGACAGACCTCTGGAATGTGCCAGAGCCTCGCAATTTCAGCCTTAAGGCCCAGGACTGCAGTCCCTGGCCTGACCAGAACCTTTAACTTCCTCCCGCTCACCGAATGAATGGAAACATTCATATCCTTGGATGTATTCACAAAGCCGATAGCACCCTCCCTGCTCGTCCCATCTGCGCTCGGCTGTCCGTGTTCCAGGCGGCAGGGATGCGGGGAAACGGCCGGTTCAAAAAGCGAGTAACCTTCCATGCCGCCATCTGAGCCAAGCCGACGGGATAAGCAACGCAAACATGCTCGCCTCAAAGGAATACTGTGGAAATCTTGAAACCGCCATACATACCGGGTGATTGCTGGGCTGGCAAGCATGTTGTGACGCGCGAGCTACCATCTTGTAACCGTCGAAGCTCGAGTGCGCAAGTTAACATCTGATGTATCTAGAATTAGTGCTTCATAGTTCTAGTCGCATCAACTGATGCTACCATTGCAGATACAAGCAAAAAGCTCTTGTTGGAAGAACATCGTCGTCTTGCAACTGTCTGCAGGCCTTGCAGTCACAGTCTCGGCTCGTCTCAGATTACATTTGGCTCCTTACTTAGATGTACTCGTGCCGACTTTGGCATTCTCCCCTCAACTGGGTTGCCCTCCACGCCATGATAGCAATCGAGACCCGAACAAAAGCGCGTTTTGTGTTCCTGTCTTTCCCTTTTAGAGCACATCCTTAGCCCTCCGATAGGACTTGTTCCAGCCTGGCGGAGGTACGACCGGGTCAGGACAGGTCAGCTCGCAGCCATCTTCTTGCAGGTCCACCGGCACGGGAAAGTCGAGTTCTGTGTTGTTGGCCTCAAATTTGAGGAGCCACCACTGCCACCACCAACAACACTGCTATCGCAGTTCGCCTTATCACGATCTCCTGATCATCAACATCATATTCAGAGTCATCATAGCCATCATAGTCCTCATAATCACCATCGTCATCATAGTCATCTATCATCACCGTCATCAACGTCAACATCAGCATCACCATCGCCAACACGATCCTGCCATTGCTATTGATCTTCATCCCCTCTATCACTTTTGCCATCATCGCCAACATCACAACTACCATGCACATGATGGTTACTATTAGTCATAAACATCAGTATCATTGCACTGAGAGGTGATATAGATCTTACCTTTGGCATGTTTGCCACTAGTGCTATTCCTAATTGCAAGGCTGCTGCTGGCGCGTGTACTTGTGTTGTCACTATTGTACAGCCACAAGCACTACTCTACCAGCTCTACGGATGCTGCTCATGGGGATGTCACGGCGGTGGTTGTCAGTTTTCACTGTTGCTAGAAGCACGATGCAACCACAATGCGTAGCAGCTAACATGTTAAGCTATATCATGATGTTGCACGTTGAGACACATGTGATACTGACTCTATTGACTCTGCTTCCACATAGACAGAACGTGTCCTACGCAAACCGACGTATAAGTAAGTATCATCCGGTATCTGTTCATCGGCATCAGTGTGCGTGTATGTGTATGTATGTATATATATATATATATATATGTGTGTAGAACATACATACATGTTCATATACATATGTATTTGTGGATAGTACAAGAATGAATATGTGCATATATACATATAATGCATACACATATAAGAGTTACCTCGGGCTTCTGTCGAAGGTTTGGAGTACGCCAGTGCGTTCTAACTGCTTTCTTACGATGCTACCACCGAAGCCAGACACATGCGGGTCTCTGCACACACCTGCTTGATAGAACAAACTCAGTCCGGGACAGGACAGTGACCGCTGGCATTGGAAGTCCCAATGTATGGAAACTTGCATGGCAGGACACAGGCCTCACCTGCAGCAGGGAAGCTTCACTTCTGAGACGGAGGAGAACTGTGCTGGCCCTTGCCTGGTCCCAACATCGAGCATTCGTCCAACTCGAAGCGGCACGGATCCTTTGGGCTCAAAACTCGAGCAGTCAACCAACACTCGCTGCTGCGCGGTGCTGCTAGCACTCCAAGGCACTCCCTACCTCTCTTGCCTCTCACCCAGAAGCATGTCTTGTTGCCGAGCATCTGCGTCAGGTGCCGTGCATGGCTGGGTGGGCACGCAGCCATCGAACACGGCCTATCTTCGCAGACTGTGGAAGCGAAAGTCAACAAGCACGGAAAGCACCCGGACCTCAGCACGGCAGTCCGGTGGCGAGCCGATGGCGGAACAGCGCCGGGCAGGTTGTCCCACAAAGCCAGCTCGGCAGACGAAGGCCGACCCATCCCACACCTGAGTTGAGCAAACCATACCACACCGCATGAGCATAGAGCATGCCCGGAACCCCATGCCCCACCAGAATGACCCCGGAACGTCCACTGAGCATGTAAAGAACCACGAAAGTCTTCGGAATGTGGAACTATTGCAGGAGAAGATCAAAGGAGCTGTCGTCAGTGATGTTCGGATCTGGGCAATCTGCCAACATACATCGGTCATCGTCCCAAACAAGGCCATCGTTCGCCTCAAATGCATGCCGGAGCCGAGCCCCAAAGCCTCATTATGCCATTAACTCCCACAAAAATTGAGGGAGGCCCCAAAGCTTGCAGACCTCTTCTGGAGCCTCTTCTTGCTGTTCAAAACCAGTGCAGACAAAGCAGCCAAGATGTTCTCAGAAGGGCAGGTTGCGTTGAAATCTGGGCCCGTGTAAGGATAGCGGCATCGGATAGTGCATGTTTCGCTCCTGGCAGCAACCGAAATCCCAAACCTTCGGGGGTAGTGTCTGCACACTTGGGAGGCTGCATCAAGACACACTTGCAACAGCTGCTACTACTTGCACGACTAAGTCAACCGAACCCCTACCCGCTCGGATCCTGGGCACGTTCATGCAGTCGCTCAGGTCGTACTTGCATGCATCGTACATGCCTGCAAAACAAAGAGGGGACTCGACATGCGGCGCACCCGAGCTAAATCAGCCGCTGCCTGCCCCACAAGGCAACATCTCATCGCAGCCGTCGAGACGGATCTCTGTGTCGCAAACACGTCCCGGGCCTCGCTGGGCAACTACTGCAACAAGGAGGGAATGAGCTCTGACACGTCTTCATGTTTGCTGCGCTACCAAACTGTGCACATCTTTGCTTTCCTCAGGTTAACACCCGACGGTACGCATCTCACACTGGCCGATCCGATGTAGCCCTCGGCACATTCCTCGGCTGCTGGTGTCACCGGAGGCGCGTCCACTGGGACAGTGGAGCCAGCCACCAAGCATGCAAGGCCCGATGCAAACAACGTGCCAGGCATAGGAATTCTCCCTGCAGAGAGAGGTTCCCAGCCATCCCAGCTTCCTCTGTTGCGACGATAACCTGCAGAAGGCAAGCACCTAGACTTAGATCTGCAAGACCTGGTAAGCGACCCCCGTCTTTCTTGACACCAAGGAGAACAAGCAGCCCGGAGGTACGAAATCACACTCTGTGGCGCATTGAGGCATCCTTCCAAGCAATCTCTGCTCAGGGTCCGTGTTGCCTCGCATGGGAGATCAGGTGTCTGCTCCACTACTGCTGATGATATAAATCCTGCATGACCTTAAGGACCATAAACTATGAGAATCATGGTACATTCCTTATTATGGGTAATGCAGGCTTTATATCATCAACCGTACTTCCTTGCGAAATGGGCAAAAAATTGAGGCTCCGACCCAGTGGGCAGCTGAGGGTCGCAGGCTGGCCCGTGCAGGGTGCAGAACAGGACGCCTGAAACCAGAAGCTCAGCGAAGTAAGGGCACGATTGTAAGAAGTGGTGTGCAAGCACCACAGGTAAATCATGTAAACTCCTGGGAGCCGGGAGCGTGAAGCCTCTCTTCAGGGTTCAGGGGAGCCTAAAGCCTGTAGTCTGGAGATCTCGCAGGACCATCTCTTGCCGCAGCCGCGGCCAGACAGGCACAAACACTTCTCCTAGCAAAAAGACCTCGCAGCTCTTCCCAGCCACCACAACATCACCTTGGCAACCAAAGAATGTACCGAGAAGAAATGAGAATCCGAATAGAAACAGTCGTCATCATCACCACAACAACAACAACAAGACCAATACCAACAGTAAGAACAGAAAGAACCGCAATATCAACACTAATAACAGCTATCATAATGCAGGCGTTTTCGAGAGATACAGATATAAACTCAGACTAGCAGATCACTGGCAGCGTACATACGGAGCCGATGCTTTCCGTTTTCTGGGTCGCCGACAGCCCGGGCCGATAAGACCACAGGGTGGCGTCGCGAGATCCAGAGGCTGACAGGCGACCGTTGGCTTGCAACCGGCAAACTCGATGCGCCACTGGCAGTTCAGGTCCTGGGGGTTGAGGGTTTCGGGTTCAGGGTTTAGGGGCTGATGGAAGTTGAAAGGTAGGGACGGGCCACCAAAATCGATGAAACACAAAAGAGAAAGGATGGAAGGATGTTCCTGGATGAGCTAAGATCAGAGCCTGCGCTTTGCGGCATGACGGTACTACTTGGAGGATCATGGGTAGTTATAAGTGGAGTTATACGTCCCCCAATATGGCTTGCAAGTATAGTTACCCTACTTATAACCCTACTTATAACTACCCGACCCTTGAACCTCCAAGTAGTCCGAGTGGCGAGGGAGCATGTCACCGTCAGGTTGCCAGCATGAAGCTCCTGGCGGTTTAGGGTTTAGGGGAAGATATGCCCTCAACTACTGGGTTCTAGGTTTGGGTCTCTGAGAAGAATTTATGAATAGGTATACCTTTAGGAAGCATAACGGGAAAATAGAAACTTTCCTACATTGCCGCCTAGATTAAGAAAGAAGACGCTGGACTCCTTAGCCAAAGCCTTGAGAGCATACAAGTAAAAAGACCACCGAAGACAAGTGGCCGCGCAGATGAAGTAGCCCTCCCGCTCGATGCGTGCACGTCGTCCAGAAAGCGGGTCAGTAGAAAAGGTTGACACCACTAAACCGTCTTCGCGCACGGCTGTGAAGCTGATGTTGTACTCCTGCACGAAGCATCAGACGGGATACCGCGGTAAGTTCCAAAAAAGGTATCTGTCCTATACTCGACATGACTCTGCACTGTGTGGGTTTGCGGCCGGGACCTCCGGCAGCTCTTCTGGGATGGGGCAGTCGAGGAAGCAGTTCCTTGCTTCGGGGCAGCATGCCTTCATCTGTTACGATATTGGAGGATTCAGCTATGGCGCGGCATCTGCACGTCGACAAGGGTGTTGGGATCGGTGTTGGTGGACGGGCAGTAGCCAACAGCAGGTCCACCTCCCATCGGCACGCGGCAAAAGACCTGACATGACACGAACAGACCAAACTTTCACACCTACTCAGATAGTCGCCAAGACATCAATGCCACTAGAGGGTGCGTGCAATCTAGCTGTAACCTACTACTCCACAACGCTATGCTACATGATGCAGCAAGCTACCAAAGACTCCAGTTTGCTCTCCTCTAAGTGGCCTGACAAGTTCCACCAGCGGGCACCATACTGCAGTCAGAGGTGTCGAAGTCGCAGACATCGCCTGGGACTTCAGATCCCCAGTCGGCGCGCGCGGGCGCGCCAAAAGGCGGAGCAAATTCCGTAAGCCAGGCCGGGTCACTTGGCGGAAACCAGCAAGGCTGAAGTTGAACACACCCCGTCAACTCCGTCCTGAGCTACATGCGGCCATCATCATTCCCCTACAGAAATCCTGGGGCCGCAAACCCTTATAAGGGCTCCTGGTGATGCAGATTGCTTCTCCGCCGGAGAAGAACCGGTCCATGTAGCAGCTGGCAGATGCGACGCCCGTGTAACCTCCCACGCAGGTGGTCATACACACCGTACTTGCTTGGAGGTTCATGGGTACTTATAAGCGGGGTTATAAGTCCCCTAATAAAGGTTATAACCACAGTTATCCTACTTATAACCCTACTTATAACTACCCATGAACCTCCAAGTAGACTTAGACCTTGCCTGGTGCACACGTCCAGGAGTCTGATCCACGGATGTAGCCTGCAAAAAGCAGAGTTCAGGCAGTTCAGGGTTCCACCTTCCGCAGATCCCAAAGGCAAGCTCCGAATCGCCCCCCTGCCTTCGGGCACAGGGTCGGGCTCCGGGCACAGAAGCGCGCAACTGGGCCTCTCGAATTGCAGGGGCTCCAGAGGATCCACGTTCCTCAGGTTCCGAGATGTTCCGAGGCATTCCGCACGATTTGCGTGCTCGTCGAGTCTAGGGAGGCTCTTCTCTTGTGTTCTTGAGACAGGTCGCAGCTCCTTGCAGCTTGCCACGGTGCTGTTGCCTCCAGACAGAGTCTGTGCAGATGGGCTGGCTTCAGGTGTAGATCTTGGCGAACGAGCCTACGTATGGATCTCGGCAGGAGACATTGCAGGTGGATCCGGGGGTCAATTGGTCACAACCTTAGCATCACATCGCGTTAGTACCCCCGTCTGTTCCAAACTCTAAGCTCTCGCCTATCATCTCTTCCCGCCGCTCTGGGAAGCAGGCCGGTGAAGTTGAACTGGCATTGGTCGAAAGCTCGCGGATCCGGCGTCAGGCAGGGCACGATCGGAAGGCAACCGGAGAGTAGAAGGATCCCAGTGCAGGAGGAATCAGCATAGCAGGAACTCACCTGGCCAGCTCCGCTCTGGTCCGCACTTTTACACCTCTAAGGTGGACTGTCACTTGAGACTTTAATAGTAATAATAACAATAATAGTAATAGTCATAATAATTATTATTATCCTCGGGGGTTTAACGAAGTCAAGACACCACTGTCCCAAGGTAGCCGCTCGAGTTGCACTCCCAGCCATCCGCAGTCTCCACGTACGCCTGCACCGGGCATACTCCAAAGCCCGTTGCGGTTCTCTGTACACCTTTGGCACGAACGCCGAAAATGCCAAATCTAAATTACGAGCAGGATGCAACTCTTCAAATCCGAACTTCCTCCTTCAAGACCCCGGACCTCAACCCCACTCCCACTGCAAAGTAGCCTGAACCCCACATCCTAAGCGTGGACCTCCGTTAAGTTCACGGGTGGGTCGAGGCATTGAAGGCTGCAATTCGGCAGGCTGAAGTTCGGAGCAATGTTAAGCACCAGGTTGTTCTCATCACCTCGGCTTGCAGGACATATCACAAGTCGACCGAGAGCGAGTGCGAGAGTGAGAGGGAGAGAAAGAGAGAGAGAGAGAGAGAGAAAAAAAAAGAAAGAAAGAAAAGGAGATACGCAAAAGATACCCACAGAGAGAGAGAGAGAGGTGAACAGACAGACAGACAGACAGACAGATACACGGATAGATAGATGCAAGTAGATGGGCAGGTAGCTGGGTAGGTAGGCAGGCAGAGATGTAGGTAGGTAAGTACGCAGAAGGACGGACAGACAGACAGACAGACAGACTGATAGACTGGATAGACAGATACACAGCTAGATAGACAAATAAATAGGCAGACTGACACATACAGAGATAGACCGAGAGACAGTCAGACTGATAGGGTGGATAGATGGAACGATGACGGTGATGGATAGATGGATGAACGGATTTGCAGGCATGCACATGCATGTGTATGTATACGTGCATGTTTATGTTCCTGTAACTGTATGTGCATGCATATCTGTATACATGTGTGTTTATGTGTACGTAGGTAGGTAGGTACGTAGGTAGGTAGGTAGGTAGGTAGGTAGGTAGGTCGGTTGGTTGGTTGGTTGGTTGGTATGTGTCAACGGACGACTACCAAAAAACTTGAGCATAGAAATAGATGTATATACATATTTATTTATTTGATTTCCTTAGTTATATTTATGGCTAGATCATAATAATTGGGGGATCATCTCATATCTATTCATTTATGTACGCGTGCATGGATGCACGCTTGGATGTATTTGCTTGTGCTTATATATACACACACAGAGAGAACAGTCGACTCGACTTAGGATGACTGGGCTCCCCCACAGCTGGCGTTTGTGGAGTTCCCATAGAATGGAGCTTGGCAGTCCACTTGGCAAGTTTCTCCGGGCAGCAGCTGGGTGGGGCAACTCGAAACCTGGAGCTGGTTTTGGGTTAAGGGGGTTTTGGGGCTTAGTGCTTAGGGAGTTTGGAGTTTCGGGCTTAGGGAGCTTGGAGTTTGGAGTTTCGGGTCAAAGAGCTCTTGCGTGCTTGGCCGATGAGCGGAGACCGTCTTAGGAGAGCTTGGCAACAGTGAGGCAAGTCTCTTGGGCCCCGACATACTCACAGCCACTGGGCAGTGACGGAGCAGAGCACGGCACCTCAACAAAGCACCCCAAACAGAACAACGATAATCGTAAAAACAACATTCCTATTCATGATAGCAATTCCAAGTAGTTAACAACAGTTACAAGTTGTCATCAGGCCTTGTCGACTGCACGCTTGTCTCGGCACGAATGCTGCCACGGACTAGATGCAGTTGAAAGCTTTGAATACCTACGAAAACCTGGGACTCCATCGTCAGAACAGTTTATGCAGCAGTCATGGTCTGCAGCTGCGACCGAGCAACCTTTTCCTCGCAGCCACTCAGAGTGAATCCTGAACATGGGGATTTCGGGTTTAGGGTTTAGGGTTGATGGTTAAGTTCAGGGTTTAGAAGGGCTAAAATGCATCCTCCGAACCGCTCTTGCTTAAGTCCGAGGAGCGCATCACGCAATTCCGATCGGGGCCACAACTTGGCACCGCTGTGCCGAGGTAGCCGTCGGCGCACGTCCAGTTTCCGCCAGAACGATTGTACCCTGCATTGGCATACAGAGTCTATCCATGCGGAGACCAAGCAGGGTCCAGGAAATTGCCGATAAACACACATGCTCTACACCTTGCGAGCATGGCAAGACGCAGGACATAACCTGAACCGAAATCCTGCAAGCATCCAACGGCAGGCATTTTGTCTTTGAGACGCTTTCCCAGGCCTTGCGGTGGCTCTGACGGTTCTGTGCACTGCGGCTCGCAGCTTGGCAGCACAGGCACCACAGGAGGACGCAAAGGATCCTCGGCTTTTCACGTGGATGGTCATCAAAATTGAGGTCCCTTTCTAGGCTCTTAATGTAGTATTCAGGGTACCCAAAAAGGGATCCTAATTTTGACAACCACCCACATGAGAGTCCCCAAAAACTGAGGACCGTCCCAACGACCCGGACACATTTTGGGCACGGTGCCGTGTTGTCTGTGGGGCAGGTCCCAGTTGTCGGATCACCCAGGAAAGATGGAGGCTTGCAGCGGAACTCGCACTGCTCGCCAGGCAGTAGTCCGGGAATGCAGCTGTGTATGTACCTGCTTTAAGCGGTGGACTGACACAACAGGCGCGGTAGACACCACCCACTTGGAGGATCATGGGACTTGGTAAGTAAGGTTATAAGTACCTTGATTGGGGTGATAAGTAGTTATAAGTAGAGTTACCCTAATCATAACCCTAGTTACTAAGTCCCATGATCCTTTACCCAGCAGTAGCTGCCTGCATGGGTCGGGATTCTGCATGCCCGCGCAGATGGTCAGTGGGCCGCAGCCACTGAAAACATAGCTCGCACTGCAGTTGTCCCTTGGAATTCACGACCGGTTCACACGCACATACAAACCAAACTCAAGCAGACCGGCACCTGAAGTTAAGGCAACCCGGGCAACCCTACTACTGCCGATGAAATTTCACAGGCATGGTGCTCCGCGTCAATCAAGCAGGTTGTCGTCGCATTGCCACCATAGCCGGCGGCACACGTCCAGCCTCCGAAGAAAGACAAAAACGACACTCGGAAAGCCTGCAGCAAGCTCGTGTTGTGGAACCCTGCTGCCGTGTTAGGGTGCCAGTCCTGTGGCATTTTCACCTCCCGGGCAAGTGCCGGCATCCTCACAGCTTGCGAAGCCCGTCGGAGCCTGACAGCAGCGCCCATGCCGGAACTGTGCACGGCCGCATGGCAAGATAGCCCTCGACGACTAAAGCGAACTTGGCCCAAAAAAGTCGCCATGACTGACATTTGAGAATCTTTGAGGCCGTGTGACTTGAACATCCTCGAGGTAGATGCACGGGGACTCGCAATCCGGGAGGTGTATCCTTGGGATTTACCAGACTGCTGCGCTGTGAGTAGGTGCTCCCAAGATGTGGCGGCAAGCTTCTGCCCAAACCCCAACCCCCGAAACCCAAAGATCCGTAAACACCAAACTTCAGAGAACCTTTCTCTGCGGCTTGAGGATCTCTGGAGGTGCACCCAACTCCGTGTTCATCTGTGGACAAACTGCCATACCAGGGACACCTGGTCAGGGCCAGTGCCTCCCATGAGCCTCCAAGTTCTTGGTTTCAGGATTTACAGTAATCAGTAAGCCTTCCGGGTTTAGGGTTTAGCGCTTCCGGATTTAAGGTTTGCAGGGTTGCAAGTCTTTTAGGGTTTGGGTTTGGGGGAAATTCTGGTGGCCCGACAACCAGAGCTGCACCGCACCTCGCGTGGGCTCCCGGCAGGATATCCTTGGAATTTGCTGGTAGCTCAGGGTTTAGGGCTTAGGGTTTAAGGTTTAGGGTTTAGGCAGAATCATGTAAGAGTCCCCTGACAATAGTGCCCACTCGAAACAATTCCGAAATCCTGTGTTTTCCCAAGAAGCTGCAGGCTTCTAGGACAATCGTTTACCTGCCCATATAGGCACGTGAAACCTGCACAATCTTACAAGTATCTGTGACAAGAAAATACTCGTACCGTCCTGGACGGTGATTCTTCGGGTGTTCGGTCAACCCCTTCACCCTTAACCCCAAAAAAATGCCGAACAGCAGACCCTCAAACCGAAAAAGACTCGTACAAGTACCCTAAACCGGAAACCCTAAACCCTAAAGCCCTAAAACCCTAGACCCTAAATCCTGAACCCCTAAAAGTAAAAGGGTGACCGCCGAGCAGCGGGCAGGAGGAGCCCGGGGCCATGTCACACACGGCGGCCTGGTGGTGCGCGGACTCTTCTAAGGCTTTTTCTAAGGACTTTCTGAAGTTTTTTTCGAAAAACAAAATAAGAGAGGTTTAGGGTTTAGGGCTCTAACGAGGGTCTTATGCTGGTTCCACAGGATTTTTTTGTAATAGATTTGTAGGGGGTTTGGGAGTTTAAGCTTTCAGATTGTAGGGCAGTTTGGGGCTTCTTGGCTGCACGGCGTTACGACAGAAGTGTTTTAGGATGTGCTGCTTCGAAGATTGAAAGTCCCGGGCGCCTTGGGGGGGGGGGGGTCCAACTCTGGGTTTGGATTTAGGGAGGCTGTGGGAGTCTTGGCGAGGGGTAGTTATAAGTAGTGTCTGTAAGTAGGATAACTATGGTTATAACCTATATTAGGGGAGCTATAAACCAGTTACAACTGCCCATGAACCTTCAAGTATTCTTCACTAGGCACAGCCGGCCTCGAATCGGCAGAGATCGACCACTGGAGAACCGCATGGAGCAACGGGAAGGCACTCGGAAAGCTCATACTCGCCTCTGCATGGAAACACATTCGGTCATGCAATGGGTTCCTTCCTGTCAAAAGCAACGCAACTTGACCTGCCTACGCAGTCCTCCCGCATGACGCAAGTGGCGGTGGCATTCCCGGCAAAGCCATCTGCACACTGCCAGCTGTCCTGCCAGGCATGGAAACTACACAGCTGGCGAATGCTTTTGAAACCTGTGCTTTCTCGCGATGAGTTAGGAGCTGCTTCCGAATGGGTAGTTGTCAAAATTAGGGTCCCTTTTTGTGTCCCTTTTATAGTACGGCACCTATTACTTAGGGTACCCAAAAAGGGACCCTAATTTTGACAACCACCCGAATGATCTGGAACGCTCTCTGGAAATGATGCGGCTGGAAGATGCAGGTTTGGTCGAAATCGGAACTAGTGAGTAACTAGTGTGGAAATGCATGCGCATGCCGACTCCTTTCGGCTCCCGATGCCCAAGCTTAGGATGCACAAGTTACTTATCCAGATTTCGTGATTCAGCAACAAGCTCGAAAATCTCAAAGTGGATGCCGCCTCAATACCTTGCATTCAAGAACTGACCAGCTGTGATGTAAGACAGCTCTCAATAGCCCCGACTCCATGATTGATTTCGCGTCTTGAGAGAAAAAGCCAAACCCCTGATGTCGACCCCTGGTCCCCTGGTCGGATCCCTATTAGGGTGTAGGGCTTAGGGTTTTGGAAACCTCAACGGTTGCAACCGCTCTTTGACTGGAAGCCCCCTTCCTCGCTGGAGTTGCTGACTTGAACCTTCACAAAAGGTTCCGGGACGGGCTCAGGATCAATGCAGTCTTCGAAGACACAGATCAGCTCTATCATGTCGAACTCCCGTCCTGCCGAGCTAAACAATGGCGGCGTGGGGTTTAGAGTTGGGGCCTCTAGGATCCCGGGTTCTCTTGCTAAGGGATGTAACTTGAGTTGTGAATAATAGGGATCTATCGTGAATTCCGCATTATGGTAACTTAGACTCACTTCCTTAACAGGAACCCAGGATCTGGCCCAACAACTACGGAGTAGGGCTTCCCACTGCAACATCTTATAGTTTTTTTATAAAACACTACAAGCCCTGGCCTGCTATGGTGTTCCCAGCAGGGCATGAGCCCATGACTCCATCGCTGGGCAGCAGTGAAGGCTCGAGAGGCCACGGCATAGTTGTATTGGACACGTTGGTGACGAAGCTGCGATTGCTGTCGTTGCTGAGATTGCTGAAGTTGCTCAAGTTCTCGTCCTCGTCCTCCTTGGCTCACACGAGGCCAGCTGGCACAATGACTTGTTTTGCGAAACCCCGGGAAAGCAAGCGCAAGAAAGCTAGGGTTCCTCTAATGGGTTCAAGAAAGCTAGGGTTCCTTTAAAGGGTTCCTGTAAAAGGGTCCTCTAAGGGTTAGTATAAGGGTACTATAGGGGCTTTAATACCCTATAGGGCGTTCGATGCCGGCACCTCCTCATGCTCCATGGGTGGCCGGATGAAGCCAGCATAACTTGCCTGAGGGTTTAGGGTTTAGGGCTTTAAGGATTAGGGTTTAGGGTTCGGTATGACAGAAGGCCCCCTGCCTAGGGTACAGGAGGAGTCATGAGACACCAGAGACCCCAGCACATCACAGAGCATGCCAAAACAGAAGGCTTTTTATGACAATAGTTACAGCGGAGGCCTATCTCTTGAGGACATCCAACTTCCAGCTCCAACTTCCAAATTTCAGGAACCCCAGACAGGGCTGAGACAGTGCCCAGCCTTGCAGGTGACCATGCAAGACTCGCCGGGGCCCAGCTCCAGGCACTCGGAGAAGTTCAGGCTGCAATGTGCCTGGGTGGCACCCGACATCGCCACTGAAGAATCCCTGGACCTATGCACAGACGGGCATGCTTGCTGCCGCTCGAAAAAGAAACATGCAGAATCTGCTTGTGTAGTCTTGGCATGTGAGAGAATACCGAGCAACACATTTCAACTGTCCCGGCTATGTCCAAGAACCGCGGACAGTGCCACCGTGCATGTCTACTTTGCGATTCTCGCCTGCAAGAAACTATGACTCTCGTTTCCGACCTATGTGTCACCGGCACCCCAGATGAAGTGGTGCAGAAAGCAAACATGTCAAACTACGATCTGCAGGTCTACGCGGACATTGCAACAGTGTCGGTGATGACACAGTTTTCTCAAGAACTCTTCGAGCATCTGTGCAAGTTTCAATATGCGGGACATGGCAAAGTTGACTGGGGCATCAGTCAGAGGCGGAGAAGGAGGGACGATGGGGGGATCTCAAGTAAAGGTCCTCCCGGGCAAAATGCTTACACGATGTTCGAGTCAAGGACTCGAGACGCGAAGACGCGAAGACCTGTTCATCCAAGCCAGCCGAAGGCACCATGGAAGGAAGCACGCATGGCTCCAGCTTCAGGCATCCAGACAGCACCTGTCCCACGCCGCACTCCGTTTCATTGTCGAAGATGCACCTGCAGTGTCTCTGAACACGAACACGAAAAGGATCCACAAACCCTATACGAATTACTACTGCTATTATTGCTATGACTGTTATATTGCCATTTGTTGTTCTTAGTACTACATTACTACTACTATTACTACTACTACTACTACAATTACTACTATGCACAATGGCTGAGGGCAGTGAGTCGGGCGCCTTGCCTGGATACTGCTTGGCCTACGTAGCCTGGGGCACAGCGCCATTCGTCCAAAATCTCCACGCCAGGATCACCCGCACGAACCAGCTCATATCCCTCCGGAATAACATCTGGCATCGGGCAGTCCTCCGCCAGAATTCGGGGTCCCAAAACAGAGCACGGGTAAAGGATGACTGTTCTTGGTTCTCTCCAGACGAAATCAACCCCGTCGAGAACGAGTTGAAACTGGCTTAAGTATCTGATGGACTCATTTCGCAACACGTCCAATGCCAGCCTGGGACGATAAAGCCAAGTAGCAAGAATGCAAACCGGAGGGGACCAGTCGACTGGCTGATTCGGGATGATATTGAAAGTCGGACACCTCGGTGCAGTGCTGCTGGATTCCACGCCCACCCGAGACTGCTCGCGTGCCTTGCAAAAGTGGGATCGCCAACATAAGGTGCTCGGCATCGCACCTCGCCTAAGCAAAATGAGTACGTGGCTTCGCCGCTGAAACAATCCACGCATTGAAGAGAAGCAATGCACCGAGGGCTGGACAGAAGCTGTTGGGCACCATTTCGCCACAGTGAGAGTTGTCGAAAATGCAATCATCCCAAACCTCTGTTGCCTGCCAGAGTCTGCATGTCCACTTTCCAAGATCTTGCAAGCAGACAGTAACGGCACCACAATGACTCGCAGGCCAAAAAAAGATTTAGGAGGTTCGGCACAGTCAGAGCGTACTACGAAGGCCTCCAGCGCCACACAGGACTGCGGGATGCCACATCCGGACAGAAAGCCGTCCTACAGGAAAGCCACGTCTTTCTCACAAGGCTCAATCTGCTCTCTACCACGCATGAGCCCTGCAAGCCTTGCAGATGCGTTGTGATTGCAGGTCCTGAACTTCGCACGCTGGCCAGTCTTCATCTGCTGGCGGTACGGAAGGCGCACTTTCGCAGCGCCTGAGGAGCGAGCAGGTTTCTGTTGTACACATGACGGGGCTTAGGGTTGAGGGTTTAGGAGAGAAGGTTTCTGCTGTAGTGCTTCCAGCCCCTGCAGGCGTGCGAGAGATTTCGAAAGCCGAGGTCTCCACTTTGCAGCGATGCCGTTCATGCCCTCCGAACAGCGCCAGCCCACCGGAGATCCGGGATCCTCGAGATGAACACGTGGCCAGGTTGCGATTTGCGGCCCAAAAAACCTGCCTGTGTGTAGTTGGGGCTGTGCACTTCTGGATCCGGGCACTCGAAGAAGCTGCACAGCGGTCTCGTCCAAGTAGCTTCTCCTTCTTCACACGATGTGCATGCACCAGTTTGTTTCAGCATAATAAGGATTCCACCCGGGAATGCTGCAAGCAAACATACTATCATACAGACATGCACAACACACGTGCAACACATATAAACGCACATACGCATACACATGCACATACATATATACATACACGTACAGATACATGTACATCCACATGTGTGTATGTACGTATATATATATATATATATATATATATCCTGACATATATTTCCTCGCGAGGCTCCTCACATTATATGCCAAAACCACAAGAGCCGAATGACAAACAGCAACGAAAAGTCCACCAATCTTTATGTCGGACGACAACCGCAAAAAGTCTCAACAGTTCTGGGAGGTCGACATGTGGATTGTTACAATCCTGCAGTGTGTGCTACAGTGCTGATAACCATGTTTTCACGTTGCAAGGACACCCATACTTCGTCCAAACTGGGTACCAAAATCCCAAAAGAGTCTCAATCACCAAACACAAGCATCCTTGCGGATCTGTGTTGTCCCACGGACACGTAGCCAGTCCCACCCCGCCAGCATAGGGCAGAAGACATCGAATCTCACAGAATGAGCCTGCCGACACCGTCACTTCACATCGGAGAAAATTCTGCCAGCCTGCTGTATACTTTCTGTACCTGCGGACTCATTGCAGGCCCATGGCCTACTATAAGGGCCTTAATAATTGCGCTCTTCTTGTTATTGAGGCCCCCATGCTATGTTTATTCATTCCAGGTCTCAAGCCTGGGGCCATTCGCTCAGGGCAGCCCGAGGCTTCGAAGCGGCAGATCTCCTCTGGGCCAAAGCGTGGCCTCAGCTTCCAGGAGCTCTCGAGATCAGGAGCCCACGCACTGGCTGTAGCGACAACGAACCCTACGCGCGTTATGGCATCGTTTAAAGTTTAGGGTTTGGGGTTTAAAGTTGCGGGTTTAGGGTTTAGGGTGCTCTCTCGAGAGCCCTTGCAGACTCCTCTGAGATGATACTTGCAAGCCAAGACAGGTCCGGCCTTAGGCACGGGACGATGGGCTTGCAGCCAGTGAGGTGGAGTTCCGCACCGCACCTCCGTCAGAGACAAAAGAATCAAACCTTGCATTCCGTTTTGTTACAGCTTCCACATGCAGCATCACATGCAGTCAAATTCCGGTGGCTTCAGGTCTGAATAACCCAGCCTATAGCTTGGCTGGCACCCAGCAGAAGCATTACCTGCGTAACCTGGAGCACAGCGCCACCCCGTCTTCAGCTTCTCCTTACAGGCCAGCACGAAGTGCAGGAAGTGCGTGACACGACCCGATGTGTTTACCCAATAGCCTCATTGCCGGCCGGGTGTCATAGCCCACAGGGGCCGCGTCGCAGGCCAACCGACAGCTAGGCTCGCCCACAATCTCTGGAGGTTTCTCGTCGTCTGTGTTGTCCTCTAGCACAGACCCTGTCGTAGCAAACTCTAGAGCGGGCCCGAACCAGTGCTGCCGTTGGGGAACAAATGGCTGTTTATGCCCCGCCCTGGGCGCTTGAGAGCCAAAGTCCTCGGGACAGAAAGCTCTGCGGGCTTCACCATGGAAAGGAGGGCGGCAGACGATCTCGCAGGATTGGCCCGGCTCCAGGCCTGCCCAAGGCGAGAAAAAGCACCTTTCAACCCTGTACGAGGTGCGGTCCGGGGACGATTGCACTCAAGACAAAACACGTGCATGATCATCAAGACGCAACCGGACGCTGCCGCCAGCTCATCACCATCACCATCGTCTTTGCCATCATCATCATCATCATCATCACCACCATCATGTGATCGAAATGACCATCATCTTCAATCTCAATAATCCTGACCCTCCCCCCTTCAACTTCAATGCCCGATCCTCCCTGTCGCCCTCATCATGATCAACAACATCACCATCAACGACGACATCAACAAGCACTGGCTGCACTGCGCTCTTTTTCCTGCGAAGCCAAAGGTGTCGAGAAGTCGGCGGGGCTCAGCCCCAGAGGCAGAAGCTCGGAAAGTGTAAACGGCTAAAAGTGTAAAACGGCCTCGCAGGCCAGCTGGCTCCGGTCGAGCTGTTCAGCAAGAGGGAGGGCCTAAACCACAACTTAAGGAGGGTGAAGGCGTGCCAGCAGGCAGAAGCGAGGGGAACTAAACCCTAGCCGCAGACACAACGACCCGGCGACTGCACATCTAAACCGAAGGTGAACCCAAATCAAGACTATCGGGAGGGCGGGCGGGAGCCGAAATGTTCTTGAGGGTTCGCAGTCATGCTTGTTTGCAAGTGCTAGTCTGCAGCACTGGCTGCACTGCGCTCTTTTTCCTGCGAAGCCAAAGGTGTCGAGAAGTCGGCGGGGCTCAGCCCCAGAGGCAGAAGCTCGGAAAGTGTAAACGGCTAAAAGTGTAAAACGGCCTCGCAGGCCAGCTGGCTCCGGTCGAGCTGTTCAGCAAGAGGGAGGGCCTAAACCACAACTTAAGGAGGGTGAAGGCGTGCCAGCAGGCAGAAGCGAGGGGAACTAAACCCTAGCCGCAGACACAACGACCCGGCGACTGCACATCTAAACCGAAGGTGAACCCAAATCAAGACTATCCACTCCTAGGATGCTTCGAGGGTTGAACACCACGCGTGTACACCTCGACCACTCGTGACGAGAATTCGGCCAGACCGGCGATTCTCGCACGGCTTTCAGGCGGCAGCCTTTGCAGAACGACTTGTGCAGCAACTTCTTGCAAATAGAACTCGACAGTCTTTTGTCGAGCCCATCTGCCGCGCCATGCAACCTTGACCAAGTCCTCCGTTTCAAGGTAAAGATGGGTAGCCCCGCTCCCTCGCAGGACGCCTGGAGTGACGCCTTTATCAGCCTTTTTGTAGGGGATTCCTAGTCTTTGCATCACTGCGTTCCACTGGCTGCGGAAGGTGTTCATGCTGCCAGGATAAAGGCGGCCATCGAAAGGGAGGGGCCCAAACAAAGCTTCGATGAAACGAAGAACTGAGTCGTCCTCGAGTCGGCAATGCTGACGGCGAGCAAACCGAGCTGTTTTGGGATTCTTGACCGAAACATAAGCGATGCGATCTTTGCTGAACACGTCTTCAGGAAGGATCAAGTCACCCCGGGTTAAAGGCAAATACTCAGACGGATGAAGCATACACAGGAACCCTATGAGGACGACCCCGACGAAGCGAGGCCATCTCCACATGAGCCTGAGTGCCTGCACAATCGGTACAGAGATCACAGGGCGGCACTCACCGGGTTCTGCGGATTGCCACTTCTTGTCGATTTGCCAAGCTGGAGTCATCAGCTGGCGGTAAGCAGGGAAGGCGTCCTGAATCGCTGTGATGGCATACACGAAAAGGTATCTTGGAAAACCTGCAGAGTAAAGGTGCAAACCGTAGCCCCGGAGCGCGAGAGCAAGAGGCCCCGGCTCAGAGCACAGGACACTGAACGGTATCCAAAGCTCACTTTGCACCCACACTTTAAAAGCGTCCAGACACTTCGCCATCCGGTCAGCTGTGCCCCGGGTGAACCCCGAACGCAAGTCCAACGGGCCGCGTGGAGCTCGCTGAGACCGCAAGGCTGGACCGGGGTTTGTTTCGATGTCGCCGCCTAGCAGCAACAGCAATCTCAGCCATCTGCCGGCGACTCTGGGGACCGAAGCTGCAGCGACGACTAAGTCGAACCGATATGTCCTGCCTTGGCAAAGCTCCGTGAACCACAGAGGGAGCTCCTTGGTGGGCGGGTCCACGGCCTTTCCGCGCGAAGGTCCGTCGGAGCGGTTCTGTGCAGAGTACACGTGCAGCGCCCCGTTGTAGAGCCCACCTCCCAACGTGTATGGCAATGTTCCTTGCAACACTCGAACCAAGGCGGGGCTCGAGGAGCGACCTTTGGCAACAGCGCCCATGGTAACCCTGCTATCTAGCATCGACAAGCTCCTGCTGTCAGGGGAACGCAGGGCGAGGTATTTCTGGAAGGTCTTAAACATGCGAGCCTCAAGAATGTTAATGTGGTTGGGCTTTGCAAACCGATACCTAAGCACTTCCCTGAAAGGCAGGCTATCAGCAAGCTCACCGATCCACTCCGGATCGTCATGCGGGGCACGGGGTTGGTAGAGCTCGAAATCGGACCGCATACAGTCTTCAGCGATTGACTCGAGCACAGCAGGCGCACCCCACAAAGCAGAGAGAGGGAAGGGCTTACAGAAGCCTGACTTTGCAGCCAAGCTCCCGGCTGCCAACTGCCGGACAAGAGGCAGCGGGTACTGCAGCAGAAATTCCGAAACCTCCTCGCCCGGGACCGCGGCGCGACCAAACACATCCTTGCAGGACGGCGTGCAACAGCGCTCGAACGCCGATATTTTGTTAGTATCAAAGCGCTCGGCAGTGCTAAAGTGCGAGGCGCGCATCAAGCAAGAGCATTCCCGAGGAAGATCGATCATCCAAGGTTTGTTGTGCAACCAGACTGAAGACCTTTTGCAGGCACACCCGAAGCTACAGTAGCAATACTCAGCCAACTGACCGCGGCACTGCAAAGCTCGCTTGAAACAGTCAAGTGTAAACAGCAAGCTGGAGCCCGGTTGCTCAATCGAGAAGAAACTCCCAGAAGAAGCAATGATGCAGAAGAGCAACCCCAACCTAATGCCCAACGTGGTTCGAGCAGCGGCTAGCTCTGCCGAAGCAGGAGCACTCGCTGTGAAGCCTGTGGAGCGAAGTGCCCGGTGGTATGGGCTGC